CCATCATATTTAAATGATAGTCGTGCTGGATACAGTATCCTTGGTTCAAGGCCCTTCTGTTTCATTGCATTAAGTATATCATGCCATTCTCTTCTGGCCTGTAGGGTTTCTGTTGAGAAGTCTGATGTTAGCCTGATTGGTTTTCCTTTATAGGTGACCTTTTTCTCTCTAGCTGCCTTTAAAACTCTTTCCTTGTCCTTGATCCTTGCCATTTTAATTATTATGTGTCTTGGTGTTGTCCTCCTTGGATCCTTTCTGTTGGGGGTTCTGTATAATTCCATGGTCTGTTCGATTATTTCCTCCCCCAGTTTGGGGAAGTTTTCAGCAATTATTTCTTCAAAGACACTTTCTATCCCTTTTCCTCTTTCTTCCTCTTCTGGTATCCCTATAATACGAATGTTTTTCCTTTTGTATTGGTCACATATTTCTCTTAGTGTTGTTTCATTCCTGGAGATCCTTTTATCTCTCTCTATGTCAGCTTCTATACGTTCCTGTTCTCTGGCTTCTATTCCTTCAATGGCCTCTTGCATCTTATCCATTCTGCTTATAAATCCTTCCAGGGATTGTTTCACTTCTGTGATCTCTTTCCTGACATCTGTGATCTCCTTCCGGACTTCATCCCACTGCTCTTGCATTTTTCTCTGCATCTCATCCCACTGCTCTTGCATTTTTCTCTGCATCTCATCCCATTGCTCTTGCATTTTTTTCTGCATCTCTGTCAGCATGTTCATGATTTTTATTTTGAATTCTTTTTCAGGAGGACTAGTTAGGTCTGTCTCCTTCTCAGGTGTTGTCTCTGTGATCTTTGTCTGCCTGTAGTTTTGCCTTTTCATGGTGATAGAGATAGTTTGCAGAGCTGGTACAAGTGACCGCTGGAAGAGCTTCCCTTCTTGTTGGTTTGTAGCCTTTTCCTGGGAGAATAGCGACCTCTAGTGGCTTGTGCTGGGCAGCTGTGCGCAGACAGGGCTTCTGCTTCCTGCCCAGTTGCTTTGGGGTTTATCTCCGCTGTTGCTGTGGGCTTGGCCTGGCTGGGGCTGTTCCTCCAAAATGGTGGAGCCCCGTTGGAGGGGGAGCAGCCAGGAGACTATTTATCTCCGTAAGGGGCCTCTGTGCTCCCTGCTGCCCAGGGGGTTAGAGTGCCCAGAGATCCCCAGATTCCCTGCTTCTGGTCTAAGTGACCTGTCCTGCCCCTTTAAGATTTCCAAAAAGCACTCTCCAAACCAAAACAACAACAGCAACAATGAGAGAGGGAACAGAAAGGAAAAAAAAAAGAAAAAACACTTGATTTTTTTTTTTTTTTCCCCAGGTGCCGGTCCCAGGCACCCGCTCACTGGTCCTGCTGCCCTGTCTCCCTAGCACCAGGGTCCCTGTCCTTTCAAGGCTTCCAAAAAGCACCCACCCACCGGTCCCGCAGGGAAGGAACGCTCAATATTCTTGGTCCTCAGGCACTGGTCCCACGCACCCGCTCACCAGTCCCGCCGCCCTGCCTCCCTAGCACCGGGGTCCCTGTCCCTTTAAGGCTTCCAAAAAGCACTTGCCAAAAAGAGAGAAAAAAAAGGGGAAAAACGCGCGATTTCTTCCGTCCTCAGGTGCCGGTCTCAGGAACCCGCCCACCGGTCCCGCAGGGAAAAACACGGGATATTCTTTGTCCTCAGGCGCCAGTCCCAGGCACCCTCTCACCAGTCCCACCACCCTGCCTCCCTAGCACCGGGGTCCCTGTCCCTTTAAGGCTTCCAAAAAGCACTCGCCAAAAAGAGGAAAAAAAAGGGGAAAAACGCACGATTTCCTCCGTCCTCAAGTGCTGGTCCCAGGCACCCGCTCACCGGTCCCGCCACCCTGCCTCCCTAGCAACGGGGTCCCTGTCCCTTTAAGGCTTCCAAAAAGCACTCGCCAAAAAAAAAAACAAAAAACTGCTCCGGTTTCTTTCCACCCGCCGGGAGCCGGGGGGAGGGGCGCTCGGGTCCCACCGGGCCGGGGCTTGTATCTTACCCCCTTTGCAAGGCGCTGCGTTCTTGCAGGTGTGGATGTGGTCTGGATGTTGTCCTGTGTCCTGTGGTCTCTATTTTAGGAAGATTTTTCTTTGTTATATTTTCATAGCTCTATGTGTTTTTGGGAGGAGATTTCCACTGCTCTGCTCACGCCGCCATCTTGGCTCCCTAACTCGTGATAAGTATTTTTAAGATTTACTCTCTTGGTAACTTTCAAATATGTGATTTGTTTTTATTATAGCCATCCTAGTAGGTGTAATATGGTATCTTATTGTGGTTTTTTATTTATATTTCCTTCTGAATAATGATGTTGAACATCTTTTCAGGCACCTATTGGCCATTTGTATATCTTCTTTGGAGAAATATCTATTCAAATCCTTTACTCATTTCAGTTGGATTAGTAAATCTTTTTATTACTGAGTTTTTAAGAATTCTTTATATAGTCTGGCTACTGCACCCATATCAGATAAGTAATTTGAACATGTTTTTTTCCAGTTTTGCAGGTTGTCTTTTCTGTTTCTTAACATTGTCCTTTGATGCACCAAAGGCTTTGAATTTGATGAAGTTTGATTTACCTGTTTTTTCATTTAGTTACTTTGTGTTTGCCTAATCCAAGGTCACACAGATTCAGTCTAAGAGTTTTTTAGTTTTAGCCCTTACATTGGGATCTTTGATCCATTTTGAGTTAATTTTTTTATGGTGTGGGGAAGGAGTTCAACTTCATTCATATGCATGTGTAAATCCAGTTGTCCCAGTATTATTTGTTGAAGACACCATTCTTTCCCCATTGAATGCTCTCGGAAGTCTTGCCAAAAACCAACCGACCATCTCTATGAGGTTTTATTTTGGGGCTCTCAGTTCTATTCCATTGATCTATATGTCTATCCTCATGCCAAGCCACACTATCTTGATTACTGTAATTTTGTAGTAAGTTTTGAAATTGGGAAGTGTGAGTCCTCCAACTTTGTCCTTCTTTTTCAAGATTGTGTTGGCTACTTGAGGTTCCTTACATTTCCATGTAAATTTTAGGACCAGCTTGTTGATTTCTACAAAAAAGGAAGTTGGGCTTTTCCTAGGGATTGCATTGAATCTGTAGATCAATTTCAGGAGTGTTGTCATTTTAACCATATTAAGTCTTCTAGTCTCTGAACATGGGATCTCTTTCTACTTATTTAGATCTTTAATTTCTTTCAAAAATGTTTTATAGCTTTCAGTGTATAAATCTTGTACTTCTTTAAGTTTATTCCTAGTTTTTAAATTCATTTTGATACTATTGAAAATGGAATTGTGTTCTCAATTTCATTTTCAGATTCTTCATTGCTACTGTTAACACATAATATCTAAGGGGAAACTGATAGGAGTAAACACAGTTATAGAAGCTGTTAGACTCTAGCATGTGGAAATAAATCTAAAGATGACAGTGGACTGGTGCAGATTGTGCCCTTGAGAAAGTTTCTAACCTTGTGGATACTTATTTTCCTTTTCTGTAAATAACTGTCCTTGTCCTAATGGTTTCACAGGGCTAGTAGGTAGTGTGAACGGGAAAAAAATAAAACAAAATTGGCACACAGTACCTGATTAACTAATCTTAATGCTCTTCCCTTTTTTTCCCCTCTTTGCCTTAAAACCGTGTTTCTTTATTAACCACAAACCAAACCCCATATTAGAACATCTGCCAGGAACCAAGGAACCAAGTCTCTATTTCTAACCCCCTTCTCTGCTGAAAATCCTACCTAATGTTCAGAGAACCGTCAGTACCTATAACTGAATCCCAGCCATTATTGCCAGATGCCAGATCTCCTGGTACCAAATACCTGATGATTGAGACATGTTTTGGAGGTTACTTTTCTGTATTATATGCTACTAGGAGCTGATACCCATCGCTCATTTTATTAAGACTTCAGAAGGGTCCCACCTCCTTTAAGGTGGTGACACAAATCTTAGGGAAACCATCTCTTTGTTCCATATTTGCTAACAGGAATGCTCAGACTGGGTATGCTCATGTCAGATTTTTAGAGCAAACCTATCAGGAACCCCTGCTCAGATCTGTTAGCTGATATGCAAATAGAAAGCAGATGCCAAATAATTACAAAAGCATTGTTGATTCAAACAGAAAATAAAGAATTTAGAGCCAAGAAGGAATTCTTTCCCCAGAGATCAGTAGAAGTATAGCTCATTTCTTTTAGAATTAAATGGGTATAACCAAATAATAAGTTTCTTTCATTTAAAAAGAGGAAGGACAACTGTCAGTGCTCCCCCCTTTGAATTCCCATGGTATTTTGCATAGACTTCTCTTAATGCCATAATATGCTGTGCTGAAGTTATCTTTTGTGGGTCTCTCTCCATCTAGACTTGGAATTTCTCTGATGTATGTTCAATTGGTTGCATTCTGTAAACACTGATTGAAACCTGCTTTGTGAATCAAGCTCAGTGTGAGGTTTAGGGGATTTAAAAAAATGAGTTACACATGGACTCTTGCCTAATCAGCATTCTGGGGTGATAGGAAATGTACTGTTTTTGGAACTGAATTGACTAGATCCTTAGGATTTTATTTTGGCCTCTTCTCTGTGTTTCTGGAATACATAATTATCTCATTTAAAAAAAAAGTATTGCAGCCAATGATTCTGTAACATCTTCTTGTGTTGACCGATAGTAACTGCACTAGTGGGGGTGAGGATCTAATAATATGGGTAAATGTTGAACCACTGTGTTGTATACTTAAAACCAATATAAGATTGTATATCAATTATACTTCAACAATAACAACAACAACAGAAAAAAAAAAAGTATTGTTTTGGAGGGAGAGGGACCTGAGCAAAATCAAGAGAAAATAAGGTTCAATGGCCATTTGATAAGAAGAGAGGATCTAGTCAGAGAAATGGAAAGGGCTAGAGTGAGGCAAATTCAGAAGGAATCAAGGACACCTGGACAGGGAATGGGATGGCAAGGACTGGGTTCAGAGGCTCCCCTCCCCTAACTACTTCTCTTGGCTCTTTGTCTTTCTTCTTAAAGGAAAAGGTGTTTTTCTTGCAAGAGATAAACATCACCTCTCAGACATCTGCCATCTGATCCGCCATGATGTGCCCTACTTGTTCCAGAAGTACGTGAAGGAGTCCCATGGAAAAGATATCCGAGTGGTGGTGGTAGGTGGTCGGGTGATAGGCTCTATGCTTCGCTGCTCCACAGATGGACGGATGCAGAGCAACTGCTCTCTTGGTAAGGCACAAATCTCAGAGTCAGTTTACTGGTCATGGGAGACCATCAGGACTTTGCATTAGGATTTTTGCACCCATTCAGTAAATGGGTATCAATCCCTTCCATCTGGTTAGACTGCCACCAGGATCACAGATAAGAATAAGAAAAGCCCTTTCCTTTAGCAGCAAGCAATCCAGTGGGGGCTGGGGAGGGTGGCGAGACGGATGGGTTTAAGTGCTGTGTTGGAGGTCAGGCCAGGGGTGTCAGGACCCTGAGGTTTGAACCTTATCCAGTAGGTGTTAGGACTTAGCAGTCAGGTTTAAACAAGGGAGGGACATGAGGATCGGTGTCTGAGAGAAACTGACATCTGCGTAGATGATGGATTGAAGGCATAGGGCGGGAAGCAGGGAGATGAGTTTGGAAGCTGTTGCAACAGCTCAGGCAAGAAATAATGAGGGTCTAAACTAAGGCAATGGCAGGAAGCAGAGCATATTCTGCTTTGGAAATTATATATACAATTGATTTATATATATATGTTGATATATATATATAATTGGAAATTGTGTTTTCCTTTTATGTATGATGTTATTAGAAAACTGAAGATTATGTTTCAGTTAAATGCATAACCCCATTCCATTAAGCTATTGATAAAGCTTGTGGCCTGTTGTGTTGAATGGGATGTTCTGAGAGATGTAAACTCTTGTCTCTGTCACAGAAAACTCTTATCAACCTATTTAATTGAATTTGTGTGTTGCTAATATGAAAACAAATACCCATAGTCATTATTTCCTAAATTGCCAGATGACTATACCAAGTCTAGTGACTAATTAAGAGACTGAGACACCAATTCGCTCCTTCCTGCTTCAGGACTGGTGGAGCAGTTTCCACAAGAAGGCTATGGTAGGTGTTGAGAGGGTAGCGAGTAATGAGAGAGCCCTTGCCCTCAGCAGCTTGTGGGCCAGTAAAGTAGAAGACGCACAGGCAGATCGTTGTAAGGTACTATGACAAAGTGGCATGACAGAGTCAGACGCTAGCTGCGGGTTAACACAGTACTAAGTACCTGACATATTAGCTCATTTAATTTCTGTGTTAATCATGTGTGGTGCCACAGTAATGAACCTTACGTGTTACCATTTTGTCTTTTTTAGTCACTTTGCAGAGAATTCATTCTTTAACTAGAGAACCACACGATTTTGTAATTCATGTTGCTTTCTTGGAGAGCTGTTGAAAAACTGTTATAGCCTTTTCCTTATGCAGTGTAAGAGGTGGGGAAAGGACAGCGCTAAGGTAAAGACATTAGTTACTGGACCTGAGGATACAAGTTTTGAGTCTTTCCAGGGAGACAATTAAATGCGAGGACCTAGCTTTTTAACATGTAAAAGAAGTCAGACTCTCTCTTTGGTATAAAATTTTGTCTCATAAGCCTCCCCATCTCCCTCTTCTTATAATAAGTTAATTCTGTCTTTTTCTAAATAATTTTCTGTGTAGAAAATTTGGCAAAGTACAGCAAAGTCAAGTGAAAAAAGATATTTTTCATTACTCCCACCATCTCGAGATGACCAACATTAGCATTGTGGTAATATTCTTTCCCACAATGTCTTTTTGCATTGTAGTGGTCATACTGCAAAGTCTTTTTCCTTTGAAGTACTTTCCAATGAGATCACAAACTCTCTATGAGCATTATTTATTAATGGTTGTAAAATATGCTGCTTTTCCTTTATTGTGAGATATTTATAGTTTTTTCATTCCTTTGTCAACAAATATTTATTGAGTGCCTATATACCAGTATTTTGATTTTCCAACGTTTTAAGTAACTGTGCCATCACCATCTTTGTGCATGAAGCTTTTTTTCTGTTACCTGATTTTTTTCTTTCATGGTGGGATAACTGGGCCAAAAGATAGAAACATTTTTAAAACTCTAGATAAGAAATGACCATTTTGTTTTTCCTGAAGGGGTGTCCTGATTTCCAGCCAGACTTTTTGTGAGTAATGCAAAAGCCCATCTTACTGCTGCTCCTCAGCACTCCCCATCTCTTCCTTGATGGGCCATTTGCCTCATTAGTCAGTGCCTGGTGTCACCATTGCATACTATGCTTCCCCCACAGGTGGTGTGGGCGTTATGTGCCCTCTGACAGAACAAGGCAAGCAGTTGGCTATTCAAGTGTCCAACATCCTGGGCATGGACTTCTGTGGCATTGATCTCCTCATCATGGATGATGGCTCCTTTGTGGTGTGTGAGGCAAATGCCAATGTTGGTTTCCTTGCCTTTGACCAGGCATGCAACTTAGATGTAGGCGGGATCATTGCAGACTACACCATGTCCTTGCTGCCTGATAGGCAGGCTGGGAAGATGGCCATCCTCCCAGGACTGTCTAGTCCCAGGGAAAAGAAAGAGCCAGATGGCTGTGCTCCAGCTCAGGGAGTTGCAGAGAGTGTCTACACCACCAACAGCGGATCTACCTCTAGTGAGAGTGAGCCTGAACTGGGAGAGATCCGGGATTCCTCAGCAAGCACAGTGGGGTCTCCTCCCCCCCTGCTGTCTGAATCCGGCTACAACATTAATAACAGGATTGCTTCAGAATTAAAACTTAAGTGAATTCCTGCTTTTGGGCAGCATTTAAACCAAATTCTACTGCTTCCCTAGTAGTTGTGAGTGAATAAAATCTGGACTAAAGTGATTTCATTTGCACAGAAACTAGAAATCCCGTCTGGGCACTCAGCATTCTTCCTGACAACGATTTGAGCAAATGGCCTAACTTTGTGGTTTTCACAAAAACTAATATCAAACACTCACCAAGAACAACATCCCAACGGGTCACTTTGAGACCCATGTCTGCCACAAGCACTGGGGAATTACGACTGACTTGAAAGTGCTGATTCTGTGCTGTGGCTTCTGGCTTTTAGCAGCAGAGCCCATGAACTCAGAACGGCTCCTGGAAGTACTGTGTTCAAGAGCAACCACCCAACAGAGGCATGTGCTGAGAGGTGGAATGTGATTGCAATTATGTGCTCTTCACTAAGTGTGTGTGCATGTGTGTGTGAGAGAGAGATGCTTGGAGAATACACAGTTCAAACACTACTAGAGGATCAATCTCTGCTCCCCATCAATCACCATCTTGGCCATATTTCTCTGACACTCAGGATATGGTGTTTTAGGGAGCTTCCTCATGAGCATTTTCAATGAGGTACTTTGTAGAAAGTAAAACTGAACATTCTTGACTCCACTGGTTAGCAAGTGTCCTGCACTGTAACTGGGACTTTCTACAAATTGCTTTGCCACTATGAATTTATAGACCCTGCTTCAACTCATGGCAGCCCCAGCAGCCTATTGCACCTCTGCGGCCTTTGGCCTTAGCTGGAAATGTACTTCAGTGAGCTCTGGCCACACACTTGATTTCTTATACGTGCACTAGAATTGAACACCATGACTTTCCTTTCAGTGGACCCTCTTCTCTTGTCATCCAGAAGCCAGTGGGTTTTTGTCACAGCTTCTAGAAGATAATCAGCTTCCCCAGTCCCCCACTAAAACATTGTGTACTGCTTAGCTGTAGGAGGTTTCCCTCTATGAGTTAATGTGGGCCTTTTGGGTAGATAACAGCCATTGGAAACGCTCCAGTCTCCTTAACATGCTAGTGTTTTCCAGGTTCCAGAGATCAGTCCCTACCCACTTTACCAAATTGGGGAGACTCAGATGTCAGGATTACTCATTGTACATGTGACAGGTGGGGTTGGGAGGCTGGATAATGTAGATATGACACCAAGGAGCTGATGATCCTTCTCTTGAGGTAAATCATGGAGATGGAGTTTTCAATTTCTGCTTATAGGAAGTATGACAAAAATGAGCAAGGCTACCTTTTAACCAAATACACTAAAACATGTGCACTCAGTTACCATAATCTGAGTCATTTCCTTGGGGGACCATCCTCTTGAGCTATGATGTTGCATGTGCCAAGAATGCATAGAATTCCTCTTTGGAATTATCTCTGAAGCCATGCAAGGAAAGAGGCCTGACAGCCTTATAGCTGTCACACCTCTCCAGAGGTGGTTCCAAGCACTGTCACCCATTTTATGTGTTGGACTTACCTTCTAATGCTCTTTGGCTATTAAAAAAAAAGTCATTGCTCAAAAATAGAGGTCTTCTCTTAAAGGACAAACACCAACACTGAGGAAGTTTACAACTGGACAGTTTCCAAGGAGGGCTCTAGAAATGTTCTGACTAAGGTTTACTGGATTAAACACACGTCTTCCCAAGGTGACTAGTTTGAAGGCAACAACCCAATGTGGGTGTATAAATTCCTGTATACTTACTCTGCTATAAATGTAAAATGTATATAAAGTCAAACTCCTACATTTTGTCACAGCACATTTAAATAGAAATTGGCTTTTAAAATATGGTGGCTAAAATCAGATCTCACCAAGTAACAGTTGTACAAGTGAGAAATGTTCGGCGCCATGTAATGGAGATGTCCACACTACATAGTAGTAGTTTAAATGCAGTCCAACATAGGGTGCATGCCACTAAAATTAACTCTAATAATGTCTTGTACAGTTGAAAATGACAATACTTCACTTTTACATAGGTTAAGACATGTACCTTTATCGCTCAGGGTGGGTCTAGTTGAAGGATAGTTCTAAGTCTGTTCTTAACTAGAGTTGGCCAGATGCTTTCTGCATAAACATCTGTACCAAGTGATGACCTGGAAGCTGCATTCACTCATTCCTGCTGTTTAGTGTAAGCCCCACCTCCCTACTTTATCTAAAAGGATGCTATCAGCCTTCCTTCTGAGCAGAGCAGCTAGAGGGTGCTTCCAGGTTTGTCAGAAGGGGCCCATTTTCCAGCTGCAAGTGGCATCTGTAGTCACTGGCATCACTGCTTGGAACTTAGCCCTGTCTAGAAGCAGAGAAAGCCAGACCACAGCTGGATCATAGCCCTGCTCCAGGATCTCCCTTACTGGCTGTGGGCCCTGTGAGCCTCAGCCAGGCAGCCGGGCCACACTTGTCAGCTGCCCACAAGGCCCGTTGGAAGGGACATGGGGCACAGAGCCAGATCCTGGTTCTGGCTCTCCCCTCCAATCACTGACTGACCTTGTACAATAGGTGGACCCCATGACTCCATTTCCCACTCTTTTGATAGGGAGATGCCTGTTACATTTACCTCTTGGGGGTGTTTGTGGTTAAAGTGAGTTAATGAGTATGCATTATATGGGAGGTAGTGAAGAACACCTCCCACACCTGGTTTTATGATGGTTGTCACTCCTCCTCTGTGGGAGTTAAGAAAGGAAGAAAAAGGACATGAATTCTTGGTATAAGCACACTGAACAGTGGTAGGGGACCTGAAAAAGGATGCAGCTTCCCAGAGGCCTTACAACCTGAAAGGAGTAAGGCTCTTGGTGTATTCAAACAGCCTTCTGGATGTATTGCATATAATCTGAAACTCTTGACTCTTGTATATCAACTAAGTCTTCCTTATGTAACATAAATTGTAGTGTATGTATATAATTTTCCCATTATCTGGTAGTAGCATCTTTAAACTGGTCAAAACTTGAATGCCAATAGCTCAGTCACTCAGAATATATATGATTCTGCACTTGGGAAAATGTATTCATGCTATCTGTCTGATTGATGATGGATATGGGGTTGCCAGAATGTGGATTTGGGACGTCAGGTCTTTAGGATCTTATATGCAATATAAGTTGATCATTAGCTATTACTGTCACATTTGCAGACTCAGTGCCCCCAGTTAAGAAGGAATTCCCTGACAACAGGATGGGGAGAGGAGGCAAAGGAAGAGAAAGGCCTGGGATAATTTTGTGACATTTCAGTTGGAGAAATAAGAAACTGGGATCATTTGGAATTCTACTGGGAAGGAAGAAAAAAATGGCTCTCCAGAGGGCTGTTTTAATGAAAGAATTAAGAACATGTATTAATTAGAAGTAGGTTGAAATTATTCTGTATAGAGAAAATGAGATGCGAGGATTCTCTTCCACCCTGGTGGAAGTGGGAGAGACATGCCTCATCCCTCCTTTAAGTCTTGATGAATGCTATTCTTAGGATCACTCTGAATGTACATCAGGGAAAGACTGCAGCAGTTAGCTGGGGGTTCCAGGACCACAGACCCTCCCAGCAGTTAATGACCAAAATACCATGTGTAGGGAAGTCTAAAGCCACAGCTGTCTGAGGTAAGTTAAGGAGCCATGTCAGAAAGTGAATCTAAAGTCAGTAATAATTTCACTTTATTTCATAATAATTTTCAGCTTAATAATCTTCTCTGTACCTGGAAGGTGAGGCTCCTATTGCCAAGCTATGCAGATGTTTTGGGAAGAGCTCTGACAACAGCTAACAACAGTCCCTGAAGTTAGTGTTCTTAGATCTGCTGCTGTAGCCTTAAAGACATCCTGGTGCAGTTTTTGACTGCCTCTGAGACTCAAGATCAGATCACAGCTTTAAAATGTTTTTACCTGGAAGACCACTCATCTCAGGAATATATTGTTTTAATTCTTTCTTGAAACTGTTATGTTTTCATTCCAAGTCTACTGCTAGACTCTGCAGCACTCCCTTCTAAAACTCAAACAACTGAGTACAAAAACTTTGTTCTTTCAAGCCTTTCATTTCTTCCCCCCTGTGTGCTTCCTGAACCAACACTGGCACTGTTCTGGGCCCTCTGCTGGCACCTCATCCCTTTTAACTTTAAGTAGTCTCACTCTGGCACATCATGCTCAGTGGGGCTCTGAGGCAACACCAAGAAAGTCACCTATCAAGCCATGTTTGAGCCGCAGGAATAGCAGCACTTGGGAGACCAGTCCCCTGATGTATAGGTGGGGATCTGAAACTCAGAGGCCAAGATCGCCTAGCTCGTCAGCAGCAAGGCTGGGACCCAGGTGATCTGATTTCCTGTCCAGTGTGGTGTTTATTCTTCCACAGTGTCTGGCACTTGCTGCCGTCTGGACCCACCCTTGGCCTATTCGTTTCCCTACTCCTGAGCCTATGCTCTGGATCAACACAGTGACAATGTGCTAGCAATGAAGGATTCAGTTCCTGGATGGCTTCTAGCTGAGAGGCCCAAAGGCGTATGTGAGATTTCCATGGTGCAGGCTGGGTCATGGCCTGTGCCTTTAGACCAGCCAGGACCATTTGGCCCCACCTCATACCATCAGCGATGGGATATGAGGGAGAAGGCCCTGCCAAACTGACTGAAGCCTTCCCTGGCCCCAGTTTGGCCAGTGTTCCCTCACAGCAGAATGTCTTGGAATTCGTGGAGGCCTCTGTGGGCCTCTGCAGAAGCCAAGGGTTTGAAGGTCCCGAACTCTCACAGGCACCCCGTGGGAGAATCCTGATTGATACATACCCTCCAGTCGCCACAAGTCAGAAGTCTCCTCCCACTCCAGTTCCAGTGCATCTCCCTTGCAGCCAGCCGCCAGGTGCAGATTCTTCCCTGTTGTCACCCATAGGTCAGCTGAGGACCCCCTGCCCCTTGAGATGCAGACAAGTCAGAAAGCTGGGCCTTTGGATCTCTGTGATTTCTAAGGGACCTAATTCTGGTGTCACTGCTGACTCCAGTCTTCACTACCTCATTTCATTGTTGTCTCATCCCCACACTGCATCAGCTGAGTCAAGAAGCACAGTTCTCTCCCCAAAATTCAGATGAGTCAGTGTGTGTGTGTATGTGTGGGCACATGCACACCCGTGTGCCTGTGTATTTCAGTGATGTGAGAAAATGGCATTGCAGCAGCGCAGACATGGCACCCCCATTCATAAAATGTTCTGACACATTACAGAAGGATCCACACCTTCCACTCCACGTGGTACCTGTCTCCTTGGGACGAACCGAATCCATTTATGCTCTCTTGTACAGCAGTACAGGCATTCCTTTCCTTAATTTGAATCCTGCCAACTCCCTTACCTTCAAGATTTCACCTACCATGGGTGGCTTATTAAGGGCATTGTCCTAAACAAAGGTGGCTCCCTCCTCAAGGGGAGCCCATGACATCTCTTCAGGTGATAGGTTTTTCATCCCACTACACTAGCCAGGCATCACAACCATCACACCACTCACTAGCTGTCAGGGTTGTCATGCTTCATGGAAGGCAGCAGGGACAATGGTGCCAATTTGATGTAGCCCCCACCCAAATCCTGACTCCATAACTTACAGCTGTGTGACCTCAGGAAAGTCCCTTAATCTTGCTAAACCTTCACTTCATCACCTAGAATGTGATGAATACAATCTTGAACGTGAAACACTTAACCATGGGCCTGGCTTTCAGCAGGTTCCTTTCCTCTCACTTCCTCCACTGTCAGCAGTCACAACAGCTCCCTCCCACCACGGTGGCTCAGGGCCAAGGGATAAAAGCCAGCAGACAGCAGCTTTACAGCTGGGGAAAAGAAAAGATGTTGGGGAGAGCTGGCGGCTGCTCAAGCAGGCTGTGGTTTAGGCTTAATGATTGGAAGTTCTCATCAGTCCTTGAGACATGATGCTATGGTGTAAGATTCAGGGGTGTACTGGGCTTAGAAGAATCATGGAGGAAAGGCTGCCTCAGACAACTGGGAGACTGGAAAGCTGATGAGCAGCCTGACCTTGGATGATTTAGCACCTGGTTTCTTTGGCTCTTCCTGTATTAGGTCTGCTGCCTTTGCATCAAATGGAAAGAGGAGGTGCCAGAGACTTGAATGAAATCTGTCAAACAGACAAGGTGAGGGGAGTGCAGAAGGCCAGGGGCTGGGAAGGGAACTCTGATGACCCAGCAGCACCATCTGGACTGGGCAGGGGTGACAGCCCTGAGATCAGATGGAACTAGCCAACAAAGTGGCTAAAATTCTGCCCTGGACCTGTCCTGAGTGGGACTCCCAGAATCTCCTATGTAGAAGGAATGCTGCTACCCTGTAAGGGGAGAGCTGGGGCTCTCAATCACTCTGCAGGACTAATAAAGGTCTTTGTGAAGGCAGGACTGGGCAGGTGGCTGGTTTGTTTAGTCCCACCCTGAGGTCCCCAGAGCACCAGTGGTGTGCAGACTGTTCAATTTTCAGGAATTTTGTGAGCTGGTTGTTAAACACAGCCATCATTAAAAATTAAATTACATAAACCTACAGTTAAATAAAGTATATTAGAGACATAGGTAATAAATACTAAAAACTTATCACTTCCGAATAATTTTACTACATTTGTATCACATGTGCTCTCGAGGTTATGGACACTTACCGCGTTTGTGCAGCAGACATGCTGTATAACGGTGCATGCACTACTGCACATCTCCTGACTCCACCATTCAGCGACATCACGTTGGTAACTTGACATCAGCCACGGTGGGAACAGCTACCCCACGGAGATGAGCAGACACTACATACCAAGTTTTCCCCCTGGAGAGCTGGTTGTGTTACGGAAAATACTGGAAAACCTGGACTGGATCACTGACGGAAGAACCAAGTGGCACTCGGAGGTCTTGGAGTGTTGAGGTTTTATTTCACACCGGTGGGCTCAGACGGGAGTAATCTCCCAAGGTCTGAGCCCTGAGCACAAGCAAGGGGAGCAATTTATATTTATTTTGATATGTGGCATTTTGGCGTGCACAGGGCACAAGAGGAGCCTGGAGGAGGGAGCTGGGAGGGCTTTGCCAACTGGAGGGAAAAAGCGGTTTGCTGACCTTGACAGCTGTGTTGAGTATTTTCCTTATCAGTTGTTCTCAGCACACCACTTCCATTGGGTGGCCGGAGAAAGAAATTGGTACAGGTACACATTAATACATCTGAGTTCCAGGAGGTGTGTTTTTCAGAAGCAAGCATTGCAGAACCGACTTGAAGAAAGACACTTGAAAATACTGCTTCCCCACTGGTTTTGTCTAGCCTCTGTTCTCACACCCGGGAAATCCTGTTTTGTTTGTTCCTAAACTTCCAGAGTGATTTGTGAGGTCCTGGCTCACTGTTGGCGGTACTTCAGCGAAGTTCCCGCCAGGAAAGTGAATTGTAGTTTCTAATTGGCAAACTGAAAATGTGCTGTAAGGAATACATCTTAACTAGGCACCCAAAGAGCTCATTTGCAAGCGGTTTCTCCAGCAATAACAATGTTAACTGCTCCAACAGAGAAGAACTCATTTATATGTGATTGTTTTGCTGTCTTTGCTTTTTATTAAAATGATTACTGCGGAGTGGAATGCTTCATTTCCCTTTGTCCCCAAAACTCTGTGCTTTTTGGTTCTTTTTAAGGAAGAATCATGTGCTGCATGTATATTTTATTATTTTCATATCATAAATCGAGAAAAAAGCTTCATAGAGATTTCATCCTATTCACTTACACACCAGCTGCATTCTGAAACCCCATAATTTTCCTTTCAAGCACAGAGTTTCATCTGAATTGTAATGTGGCCAACTCTCAGCTGTCAAGATGATAGAGGGAAATACTAATATAGATGGTATGAGCTTGTCATGGGCTCGCTCAGCATGCTCCCCTGGATTGACATTTGAATTAAAATTCAAACAGCAAGTGAAAACTGAAAGCCATTAGAATGGCTGTGTGAGGCAGTGAGGGCCCCAGGGGACTGAAAGAATCTGTGTACCTGCCCAAGGAACTCTGACAGTCAAGCTGAGCCTCAGACATTTCCAAAGGCTTCCTGGGAGAAACAGTGATAAGACCTTGAGGAACTGTGGTCAGCACCAGGCTTGGAACCCTTGAACTAGGCTGTTCCTCTCATGTGGAGGCAGGCAGCCTAGCCAGAGGTGAGAGTAACAGGGTTGGTGCTTGATGATGGCTGCAGGGCTCAGCTGGGTTGTACTGCTCCGTCATACCATTCATTCTGTCCTCCAACCCCAACACTGGGCAATGGGACCTATATTTCTTTTATATGAAAATCCTCAAACTACACAGAAGTAGACATAATAGTTTAGTAAACTCTCCAGATTTCAAGTTACCAAGATTTTCTATTTTTACTGCATCTATCCATTTCTTTTCCTTAAGCATCTTAAAGCAAATGCCACACACCGTATCTTTTCTCCCCTGCATACTTCAGCGTGTATCTCTTTTTTAAAAGAGGACATTTCCTTACGCTTTTATGACATAAAACAAAATTAACAGTAATTCCTTGTTACCATCTAATTCCCAATCCATGCTCCAGTTCCCCCAGTTGTCTCAAAGAGAATACATTTAGCAGCATCTTAGACCAGGGTATTTGGGGGAGGAGGTACTTTGGAGAGGGTGATGATTGCTTCCCCACCATCCTGACTGTGGCTCTGGCAGAAGCCGTGTCACCAGGAGAACCACCACTGGAGGGGCACCAGTGGAGAGTTCTTTAGGCTGCTGACAGACACCTTCCCAAGCTGTTGGATCTTGGGGTTTTCTTGCCTCCAGGAATAAGCCTGTGAAATTCCCCTTCTATTTTCCAATGTCCTGTGCTCTTCTGAGATGGTCCCAGCTTCCATGCTGCTGGCACCCACCTGTGACAACACTGGTACCCACTTCACTGCTTTTCCTGCAGCTGCATCTTACAGTAGGGGAATTTTCTACATGGGGGAAGAGGCTTCTCCCCAGGATTAGCACTCTTCCACCAGCTTCAGATCTACTGTGCCCTCAGTGAATCACAGCTCTTTAGATCTCCCAAAGGGCCTTGGCTGCTTCATTTGTTAGAAAATTTTGGCTGAATGTTGCATGAGACAAATCAGAGAACATATGAGTAGCAGCATGTTGTGCCACATCTGATGGCACTCCTCTGACTAAAGGGACACAACAACTCAATGTACTTTTTGCTCAGGGACTTTCTTTTGCTACAAAGAACACGAAGACAATTGGTTAAGTGAATAAGGTTTGTATTTTATTGTCTGATAGTATCATATCAATGCTATTTTGCTGATTCCGATGATTATACTGATGAGAATATGTAAGAGTGTCCTTATTTTTAGAAAATACACATTAAATATTAGGGGGTAAAGGGACATCATGTCTGTAACCTACTTTCAAATAGTTCAGAAAATAATGGGTATCTAGAGAGAAAATGATAAGGCAAATGTAATAAAATGTTAACATTTGGGGAGTCTTAGTAAAAGGTGTATAGAAATTCTGTGTATGAATAATCTGAATAAATCTGACATTATGTCAGCCTCCTCTGTTGAGTTCACCTCTTCATTAAACATTCGGTTTGGGAGTATTTCCTAATGCTATTCTCTTCCCTAAGCCATCTCCTCCACTGCCATGGTGTTAATTAGTACCTACATGATATTGCCCAATTTATCTCTCTAACCCAGTGTTCTTTCTTAATGTCAGATTGATGTCCAGTTACCTACCATTCATCTCCCTTCATGGTCTCGTTGGCATCTCAAACTCACCATGCGGCAGTCTGAATTCCCATTATTATCTCTCCCCTACACATTCCTCTTGTCATGGCCTCTTCACCTGAGAGCACAAAGCCAACTGCTTGCTCGAACCAGGAAAGACCAAACCACAACTCCAGCAGTCATTTTTGGGTGCTCTCTTCCTCATCCCTCACATCCAGTTTTTTGTTTCCTATGGTGAAACATGACTTTCAAACTATGAATTTTTTTTTTCATTGAAACTATTTTTTGCCTTGTTCATTAAGATGTTCTAGGAGACCTCTAATCCTTACAAAGGTTTGCAAGCAAGGGATAATATTTATAATACATAATCCTGGTTTTATAACCTGGTCTCAATAGTAACCTTGTTCATTGCTTTTAAAACCTGCTGTTTTGCATATTTATTAGCTATTGAAACTGTATATTTGTGTGTGCATATATATTAAATAAAATATTTATCTCCACCTCATTGCCATCAATCTTGATGAGTATCAGAAAAGACATATTTTTTCTGTCAAACAAAATTTGACATGGTCTTTCATTCAAGTAATGGCTCATCATCTTTTTGAAGCACTTACTTTGCCAAGTGTTCGTTTTGTGTGACCTATTGTCCTTGGGAGATGTATTTCATAGAACCTCACTTGTGACATGTATATCTGTAGTGGGACCCACTGGTGGTAGAGCAGTTTATCACTTACCTTGGTTATCTGAGGCCCTTTGGCACAGTTCTGGTCCATTGCTATGCAGTGATAAAATGGTATATGGTATGAATGAAGAACTTCTACTCAAAGTGAATTTTTGTTAAATAAAGGGTCACAGATAATATGATATAATTTGTAACAGTCAGTATGTATTTGGGAGTAGAAAAAATTTAGCCAGGCATTTCAGGGATGATCCTTCAGCTCCACACCTGTAAATTCTGCTGAAGATGCTTAGAAAATATGTGATTACCTGTTTAGAAACATAAGAGACACTCTGTGGGAAACCCCCAGCAACATCAGAACCCCTGGTTCTCTTCAACTTGCTTATGCCTTTTTAGTTTAAGAAGCCACATTTAGCAAATATCTTTGGAATTGAGATTATGTCCTACATCACTGTATCACATATGAAAATGAAATATATTTTCATTGAAGAGTCAAAAAAATGAGGGTAAAATATAACATTTTTAGCTTTCTGAAAAAAAATTTGAGAATTATCATCAGCAAACCCTCACTGCAGGAAACACTAAGGGTTCATCAGTAATATGAGCCCATGTGGAAAGTATGAAAGCAAGAGGGAGTATGATAACTTTATAAAATAATAATTCTGACCTGAAAGTTTAAGATATATTTGAAATAAATAAATACATGTTAGCAGGAACAGTAAATTGAGTTAAAAGGTTTTAAAGACCTTGCATTGTCAGGATGAGGGTAAACATCCTGAATAACTTCAGACTCTGATAAGTTAGGAATGAATATCTTAATTTCTGAGTTATCACTAAAAGAAGAGAAACGTGGAATAGAACCTACAAACTAGCAGAGAGAGGGAGAAAATGGAATAAGAAAAAAACATAACCAACCCAAAAAAGAGGGGAAGATAGAACATGTGGGACAAATACAAAGCACAAATAAGATGTTAGATTTAAACCTGAATAATTTAGTATGCAAATAAAATGTAAATGGATAACTAAATCTTTAAAAATTACAGATATTAAAAATATCTAATTATATTATTTTTATGAGTGATATCTCTAAAAGGTAAGGATACAGATTGCTTGGAAGTAAAAGGTTGCAAGAAGAAATATCAAGTGTTTCAGAAAGGTTTTAGTTGGGAAAAGAGAAGTCTCTTCAGGCATTTGGAGTAAAGAGATTTATTTAATACAGGGAATTAGAAGCTTACACATCTTTGAAATGGCTGGGTGGAAAAGATGAGGGAGCAAAGGTCAGCGAGCTGCTTTCTCAGGAAATATGTTTTCAGGAAAGCAACACTGGGAGATTCTCAAGGAGGATTAGTGGCTGCTCCTCATCCAGTTTCCAAACTTGTGTGATTGTCCTCATTGGCTGAGCTTAATCCAGAATCATTAAAGGTAAGAAATGCTGGGAAGTATAGTTCAGAGCTTCAAAGCAGAGGTAAATGCCTTCAAAAGCAGAAGGGAACATTGATCCAATGCAAAAGGATATAGGTGCAGCCTAGTAAGACCAGGCCAAAATGCATACTGAGGTCAAAAGCATTACTAGAGAGAAAGAAAATTTCTTCATAATACAAAAAAAAAAGAAGAAGATTCAATTCACCAGGGAAATCTGAGATTTGAATTTGCACTTGCCTAATAACAAAGCCTCAAACTATATAAAGCAGAAAATGACAGACTACAAGGAAAAACACCCACAATCACATTAGGTGGAGTTTACATGCTTCTCTTTGAAATAAAAAATCAGCAAGGAAATGCAATATTGGAAAATGAACAAACTTGACTTAATGGACAAATATATTGGAGAGTGTGCCCAATAACTCCATTCTCTTCTAGCACACACAGAACATTTACAAATATTGACCATATCCTGGGCCATAAGTCACATCTCAACTAATTTCTAGAAGTCAAAACTGTATGCAGCATGTTTTATGACTGCAATAAAATTAAGTTAGAAATCAACAACAAAGAAGTAAGTCACCTTCTTTTAGAAATTAAGAATCATAATTCTAAATGACTCTGTCCAAAAAAATTAAGAAATATTTAGAACAAAATTCAGAAGAAGGAAGTTACAACATTTTCTTTTAAATTAGCTGCTGAAGAGTTGCTGATGCTCCTCTTTACCCCTCCAATCTTCATGAAATTATTTGAAAGAGCTGGTTTATATTGAGGGTTTGGGGGTGAGAATCAAGAAGGGGTTGTCCCCCCAAAAAATGAAAAAACAGCTCCGAGATGAGGAATAGAGAGTGAGAATGCAATCAAAGCAGGAAACTGGAGGGAAATATGACTGGTAGAAAAGGAAGGCTCTGGGGCTTCATAGGCATCTTGGAGATGAATAACAATGCCCGAAGTTACGGAATGGGGCTTCAGAAGATTTTACCAGACTTGAAGGGGCAGTGTGGCCCATCTGACATATTTTTATTGTATGTGACTGAGTGAATTAATTTACAGTGACGAACATAAAACTCTTGGACAGGTCGTTGACTTGTATACCCTCCCTCTCTGTTGGTGTAGATCTACCCTGGAAGCAAAGTGCTAACGGGCAGGCTGCTTTGTGAGTCTGGAGAAAAAAGGATGTGCTAAATGACCAGAGTCACCAATGGGACAAGCTGACACAGCCATGGCCACATGTGGGCCATATTACAACAGTAATGAATGAGGTAATGGGGGGATCTAGGTCACAAAGTTACTAAAGTGAGACAGCTAGGATCTGAACCTAAGCATGTCTGACTCCAAGGCCTGCACTCTGTACCTTAGGTCACAGGGGCTTTTCAGAGTGTTTCTCCCCTAGACAGTATAGATGGTTCACATCTGCTTCAAATCATTGTCTAAGAAAAGAAAGACACCAGCCAGCCTACAAGGGCCTCTCACCCAATCTATTCTGGGGCTCCCTGCAAGGCCCAGGGCCTTTCTCTAGCAAAGACCTATGATTTATGTCTCCATTTTGCTATTTGTTTTCTGTATGTCTCATGTCTTTTTTATTCCTCTATTCCTCCTTTACTGCTTTCTTTTGCATTAAGTGCACCATTTTAATTTCTTTGTCGATTTTTAAACTATTTTTTAGAGTAATTTTCTTAGCAATTTTTCCAGGAGTTATAATGGACATTTGAATCACAATCTACCTCAGATCAATGCTAACTGAATTTTACTAGAATGGGAACCTTTGCTCCAGTACAGCTCTATTCTCTACCTCCTTCTCTGGCAAAGATCTATGAAACTTAAGGCACCTGGGAAGTGCCTTACAGGGAGGCTTCTAGGAAATATGATAAACTATTTGCAGTTTAATTACAATTGCCATATTAGTGTGCTGACAGGACATTACTCAAAGTTGTATGAAGTCATAATAAACCAAGCGCAAAGGTCATGACAAACAGCAACAGTTTTACTGATTTCTAAGCCTAAAGCTCTACATATCCTCACTTACACTGTGTGAGAATAAAAACACAGCTCTGTGTGCAGCCCCTGGGGGAAGAGAGTAGGAACTTGAGCCATTCAGTACCTTAGAGCAGCTGTGCGCAGCTGGGATATCAGACATTCAATAGCCTCTTGAATAGCCTCTGATGCAGAGCTCATGGGTCACTAATTAACCGGGTGAGCATCTTCAGCTTTGATGAGACTTAGTAAATTTTGAATGGTGCTTTGTTCACAGACACTGAGTTGTCTTTCTTTGGCTAGATTTAAGGCTCTCGTGGCATATTCTTGTGTCTGAAATAGAATTGCAGTGACAAAAGGAAGGTGTCACAGGAAAGCGTTACACTGGGAAGCCCCAGCGAACCCATCAGCTGCTCACATCAGCCCCTGAACTCTTGCTGGAAACTTGTAAACATACTGGGCCCTTACAGCTAGTCACATGTGTGCTGAGTGGGGCAAGGGGGACCAGAAAAACCTACCTGGTTTGAAAAACTAAGTACACCTTTTTTAGCAAAGTGAGTTCTCTGTGTGATCTTAATTGGGGCCTTCTGAACCATCATTGGGAGTCTGAGAGGTGAGAGGTGCCCTAAGTCAATGGCCATCCTGAGGGCCTGTGGCCTAGAGTTTTGACTCAGAAAAAGGCTTTACAAGACATCTTGGGATAGACCCTGGTGCACTTCTCCTCCCTTCTCTCCTCCCTTCCTCCCTTCCTTTCAAAAAGTATTGGTTGAATGATTACTATGTTCCACGTACTGTGACTACAGGCCAATGTTCCTACCCTCATGGAACTTACAGTACAGAAGGGGAGACAGACAATAAGCAAGACAAATAAATAAAGCGTGATAGACAGTATCTTAAAGAGTGTTACATGCTGTGGACAAAAATAAAGCAGGAAAGGGAGATAGGAAGCATCAGTGTGTGGTGGGGTTTTGTAGTTTTAGGTGGGGGGCCAGGAAAAGCTTCACTGAAAAGAAGACAGCTGAATAAAGACTGGAAGGAATTGAGGTGCCAGTCTTGAGTGGGTAGGTGTGTCAGTTTTCTCTAAGGACCTTTATAGATCGAACACCCTTAGCACACCTTGAGGCAATGACTTCCTTGAATACACAGTAGAGAAATGGACCCTGAATTGTAGGAAAAAGTAGGATGTGCAAACCTGAAAATTCAATGGAAATGTCTCCCTGTTCCTTAACCACTTTTCCACTATCCCAGGTAGGGTTAGTGTCCCTCCTGCATCCCACGGGGCCCAGGGTTTGCTATCACACTACTGTAAACCACTGACTGTGAGCATCTCTAGGCCCTGTATACAGCAGGTGCTTAGTAAAGTTTGCTGAAGAAAGAAAGGGAGGAAGAAGGGGAAGGGAATTCTACATATTCCACATCATCCACACAGAAAGACCTCCTCCAGCCAGCCCTCCCCCATCCCTCCTTCCTGTGTTATTTTTCTGTGTAGTGCTTTTTTGCTATCTGAAATTATATTATGCATTTATATGTAAGTTTATTGTGACTTCCCCTCCTCCAAAAACCGTGAAGTCCCATGGAGACAGACACCTTATCTGGTGGTTCACTATTGTATCCCCAGTCCTGAAAATAGAGTCTTGCTAATGGCAGATGCTCAATAAATACTTGAATGAATGAGTCAATCAGTTAATCAGTAAATAAACCTGAGATTTGCCACTTACTATCTGCAAGATATTGGGTAATTAATAGAGCCTCTCTGTGCCTCAGTTTCTGTATCTATAAAGTGGTAGTAATGACACACCTACTTCATAAGGGTGATATGAGAATTAAATATGACAACTTAGGTTAAGTACTTAGACTAGTGACTGGCATGTAATAAGCACTCAAAAACAATTACCTTTTTATTATTTCATGGCAACCCATTTCTGCCTAGATCCCTCCAGCAATAGAGAACTCACTGAGTGTAGTTAGAGCTACTACCCCATTCCTCCAAGAACTCCCCAGAGCCCTCCTGCCCTGCAGGCTTCCTGGCATGGCCCAGTCTCAGTTTACCTATGCAACCCTAGTAAGGGCCCCTTGGAGGAAGAAGACAATCCAGTTTCCATTATGCAAACTGGACTCAATGAATGAGAAATGTCATGAGCATCTGAACTTTTTCAGAGTGAGGGCTTACTTTAAGGGCAAAAGCTCATAGAATTGGGCAAAAGACAGCAGACTTCAACGAGAGGAATTTTCTGCCTCTATTTTAGACATGCTGCTTTTCTAAGGAAACTTGCCTTTGAAGAATTCATCATCAGGTAGTAAAGCATGACCAGGGTCTTCAGAACAAAGATAGTTTTTTGGGGGGATTTGTCAGATGTCAATTCTCGAATCTTCAAGATTGAAGTCAGGATCCGAATGGCTTCCGCTTCCTGTGCTTCATCTACAAAGGGAGGAAAGAAGAAACAGGCCCTCGGGGCAGCTGAGCCTACTCCCAGGGATAAGCACTGAGCTGTTAGAACACTGGGTCTTCTGGGGGCACTAGTGAGGCCCACAGCCCACAGCAAGTTCTTCACCTGGAGGACTGCGGCCACGTGCACAGCATGTCATTATCAGGGAAACCTTAAACATGCTCACTCCCACAGGTCTCAAGGTTGCTAAGATTTCTCTCTTTCGGAGTCCTAAACTCCAGGTCTCTCAGGTCCCAAATACAGAGAACTTGTCACAGCAGGATTCCTTGAGTCTAACTCAGCTCCCTCCAGAGCAAGAAGAGGGAGCTGGGGTTTCTTGCACCTGCAAGCAGTTTAACTCTTCTTTCCCAAACCACAAAGATACTTCAGCCGTAGTCTTTCTGCTTCCTCCACATGAGTCTCTTTACTATTTCTCCCAACAAGTTTTTGTCCTTTAGTTAACTTTAGTTGCCTTTTATTCACTTATTCTGAGTTTTTTTGGGCCAGAAACTTAAAAGCACTTTTCAAGTATTAAGCTTAGAGAAAAAGACAGAAAGGACATATACCATAATGTTAAGGTTGGCTATCTTTGGATTTCTGTGATTTCTAAGTCTTCTGCTCTGATGAACCACTTTTATAATGAGAGAAAATTCAGTGAAGTTATTAATTTATTAAAAGCTTAACTCAAAACCTCCCCTCCAAGAAGGCTCCCTCTTCAACACCATCCAACTATCCTCACTCTTCACTGTGGGACTCATCCTGTGATAGAATTTGTAGAAATTTTCTATTGTTATTTCACATAGGTTCTGTCTCACCAACTATGCTGTAGGCCTATTTTGAACATAGAGCCTCTGTCCCTATAACCGCAGAGGGAGTGATGCTGTCCAGTGCTACTCAACCCTCAGCCCTGCCCTGAGGGCTCTCCACCCAGTAAGGGAGGAGGCTAAGCCACCAGGACAGATGAGCAGTGCAACCTCTGCACAGTCTTTGGCTCAGGTGCCCAGAGGGATAGCCTGCAAGAAACTGATGCTCTGCATAAATCACAGGGGGCTCTGGTGGGTCTTTTTTCCTCCAAATCTGTCCCTTATTAACCCCCTGAAAGGCTGTGTGTGATGCTATGGGTCTGAAGGCTTCCCAACACTGGTAAAATCTCTTTGATCCCCTGTCTCGGTTTCCCCATCAGCAAAATGGGGAAGATGGCACTGATATGCTCTCCTATAGGACAGTGGCTCTCCCTCTTAGGGGCAAGGCCTGTGGACTGGGGTGCATGAAGTCCCTGCTCTGCTTTCCAGGGAGGACAGCCTCTTACCCAAGCCAGTGTTGGTCTCAAACTGTTCGCCCAGTAAATCTATCTGTTGGATGTGAGCCTGTGAGAGGACTTGGTGGTGATTGTCCAAATATTTATTCCAGATCTCAGAGACCTATTGGGAAAGGAGACGGCAATCAGACAAGCAGGTGAGACCCTGGCCATTGGACCAGCCAGTTGAGAGGGCAGCACCTCTGGCCAGATTTCCTGACGATCTGCAGACTCCCTCTCTCATTGTGCCTGGAGGCAGAGGGAGCCTTAGGAGCCCAAACAGGCCAGGCCACAGTGTGTGTGACAAGTGTTGGGCTGAAAAGGGCATGTGGCAGGCTGATTTGGGGACAGCCCTGATAAGCAGTGTTTACCATTTGTTGAGCACATACAACTAAACTTTTACATCCTCACAACATCCCAACTGAGATCATATTCTTAGTATTCCCATTTTATATATAAACAAACAGAGGCTCAGAGAAGTTACGATCACACTTGCTTTTCGGCAAGAGGGATGTGGCATAGCCAGGATTTGAATTCAAGGCTGTTCAACTGTAAAGCTCATTTCTTTTCAGCTATGGTGCCTCTTCCTCAGAGGTGGGTGTAAGGCACGAATAAACAGTCAAAGCATGAGAGCCTATTCTATATCACACACAGGAACGGTTGCTTGCTAAGTAAGGTGTTAGTGTATAAACATAACCAATATTTTAATATATTGGGAACAGTTTAAAATCTTTCACATGTAAAGATGGAAATTTTAAAGTACTCTCATATTCTTTGATTCCCTTCACAGGACATTTTGGCAATAAATTTCCCTTAAAAATCTCATCTTCTCCTCTATCACACACCTTAATATGCCTATGTGAGCTTGCTCCTATGATATGACAGAGCATATGGCAGTTTGTTTGGAGGGGTTTGGTTCTTATTGACCCATCATTTATTATTTGTTAATTGCCCTATGGATGCTGAGGTCTAGTCTATTTTGGTAGTAGAGAAATAAGAAGGAAGAAAAGTGGAACATATCACATATCAAGCTTTGTGACTTTGGGCAAATCACTTCATCTATCTGTGCCTCAAATTTCTCATGAATGGTCTGACACCAATTATAAGACAAAGCCTAAGTATCAAGGCTCAGCTCCCACATTCCCCAGCTGACCTTGGTGTACAACGTGTCTGCCAGGTCCAGCTTTTTAAGGCCATAGAATATGTTAGCCAAGTGAAAGTAGCCTCCTGAGGTCCTGATGTCCTCTGTTCCAAATGCACAACTGGCAAAATAAATCTATAGAAGGAAGAAGGAGTGTGCTTGAGTTCTTCTGATATAATTAGTTGTAAGAAACACATATTTGGTCATTCATATGACCCAATATATATTTCCCAGGTACATTTGGTCTTTATCCACAGTTCCTGAAAACACTGCAGTCTTAAAGGTGAAACAGGTATTTTGTCATGTTAATGAGAGATTTTTGGAGCCCCACCCAAGGGCAGGGGCTGGAGGCTGAATCAGCCAGTGGCCAATGATTTAGTCAGTCATGACTATGCAATGAAACTCTCACAAAAACCCCAGAGAAGAGCTTATTTTTTTCTCTCTGCTCTGCCTCATCTCTGTTGGGTCCTGCTTCTTGGTCAGAGAGAGCTTCTATGCTTGAGGAACCAGAATGCCTCCATGTGCCACCCAGCCAGGTCCCAAGCTCCATGAGGATAGAAGCCCCTTTATTTGGGACCTTGCCCTGTGTCTCTCTTCATCTGGCTGTTAATTTGTATCCTTTATGGTATTCTTTATTAAACTGGTAAACATAAGTGTTTTCCTGAGTTCTGCAAGCCTCTCTAGCAAATTAATCGAACCTTAGAGGGAGGTCATGGGAACCTCCAATCTATGGCGGGTAGATCAGAAGCACAGGGAACTGCTGGGGCTTGTGGCTGGCATCTGGAGTTGGGGTTGGAAAGCAGTCTTATAGGATGAGAGCCCTTAACCTGGGAGTTTGGTGCTGTCTTGGGGCAGACAGTGTCAGAATAGAGTTGAGCTCTTAGATCCCCTGCTGGTGTTCAAGAATTGCTTGGTGTAAGTATGTGTGGGAAGACCCCCTCCTACATACTTACACACAGTGGAATCGGGTTCAGGTATCCAAATGGAGTTGCACTACTATTACTACTGTGTATAATACTGTTATTGTTATACATATATGGAGGGGAAAAATACACCATTGCATTTGGTGTTGGATGAGTGGGAATCACAGTTCTCTTTGCCTGATTAAAAAATGGGCAAAGGATCTAAGAAGACATGTCTCCAAAAAGACAAAGGCTAATAAGCACATGAAATTATGCTAAACATTATTAATCATAATGCAAAATAAACCACGATGAGATACCACTTCATACACATTGGAATAGCTCTGATCAAAAAGGCAGAAAATAACAAATAGTGGCAAGGCTGTAGAGAAAATGGAACCCTCTACATTGCTGGTGGGAATATAAAATGATGCAGCCTCTGTGGAAAACAGTTTGGCAGTTCTCAAAATATTAAACAGAGTTACTGTATGATCTTGCAATCATTCTTAGGCATATACCCAAGAGAAATGAAAACATGTGTCCACACAAAGACTGTACACAAATGTTCACAGCAGTTTTACTCATAATAGCCACAAAGTGGAACAACCCCAGCGTCCATCAACTGATGAATGGCTAAACAAATACCCAGATGAAGGAATACTACTCAGCAATAAAAGGAATGAAGTATTGTTACACACAACAACATGTATGAATCTCAAAATAATTATGTTAAGTGAAAGAAGTTAAATAAAAATACCATAAATCATTCCATTTATATTAAATGTCCAGAAAAGGCAGATCTACAAAGGTGGAAAGTGGTTGCCTGGGGCTGGGGGTGGAATGAGAAATGACTGCAAATGGATATGAGGGATCTCTTTGATTGGGGGAAATGTTCTAAAACTGGATTGTTTTAGCTGATGGTTGCAAAGCTCTGTAAGTTTACCAAAAGTCGTTGAATTGTACCTTAACGTGGGTAGAATTTATGGTATGTATCATAAAGCTATGGTTGTTTTAAGCTTGGCTTAATCTGAGCTTGTTATTTCTTAAATGTGTGCCCCAACTTAGGATAGAATGTGCCTCTGCTTAATTTGTCAGAGGTGTAGAGTAGGAAGAGAGGAAACACTAAATGAAGAAGTGTATTAGTCTCCTAGGTGGAAACAGTGGCACCATCAAAATTATTTCATGACCATTTACTGAAAGGATTATTTACAGAGACATGGACAGGTTATGGAACCAACAAAAGCTAGTGGATTATCAACAGCAAGAAAACTACTGCCATCTGGACTCTGAAAAAGCCAAGGGAGAAAGTAGAGTTCCCAGGGCCCAGCAACAGCTTGAGATATGGAAGAAGGGTACCCGACAGGAGCGTGGCCATGCAGGAACACTGCCCCTGTCAGCAGTGGGCTGGGGAGCAGACAGGCAGCAGAGAGAGTAAACACACCCCAACCTCTCTCCCCTAGTAACCTCCACTCCCCTGCTATGTCTCCCACTCTCCAAACCTAACAGAAGCCAGAGAGTAATGGAGTCCAGGAGGAGTAATGTGCAGTCCACAGAGGCCAGCCTTCAGGGTGGAGCAGGGCAGAGAGGGGATTCTGGGCCAGGGCATATGGAGACTAACCCATGCAAGAATGTCTCCCGTGGACAGATGGGTGCTGCGCAGGGGCAGGTAAGCAGAGGGAGGGTTGCCCAGTGGAGAGGCTGAGGAGAGAACCAACCCCAAGAAGATGCTGTGTGACCCTAACCTCATCCAGATTTCAGGCTCAGAACTCTTCCCTTTGGCAATATTGCCCAATACTGAAATTCTAATAGAAACCTCTTAGATTTTAGAAGAACAGCTCAATCACCACACTCATCATCATCTTATCTAACATTTGTAGAGAGTCTTATAGTTGGGCAAGCACTTTTTTATACCTCCAGCTCTTTAAATTGAATAACCACTCTCCAAAGCAGAGACGTTGTTGGTTTTTATATAAATAATAGCCAAAGAGCTGCACAAATAATATTGTCCTATTATTAATCTCTGTGGTGATCTAATGAGGCAGAGACTATTTTATGATTTCTGTCTTACAGGTGATGAATGTGGTTAAATAATTTGTTTAGGACCATGTGGCTGGTGAAACAACAGAGCTGAGACTAGAAGTAAAGCCCTTCTCTTAGCCAGTATGCTGTTCTGCCTCCCTTTGTTATCCTCAGAGCAACTGGGCTTGGAGAAGTGATGTATCCTGGCCAAGGCTGCACAGCCAGGAACTGGAAAGGCCTGAACAGGTCACTGGAATTGTGTTCTTGCTAATATCCCACTAAACAATCAGTTTGTAAATAGAACATTTTAAAGTGATGTTCAGTAAAACAAACAAACAAAAACCAACAAAACTAAATAGAGCTGTTCTCAGAAACATTCAGATAATTTAGCTTGTTTACATCATTGGCCAGATGATAACGGGCTTCATCGTAGTTTTCCTTAGCCATGTAGAGAAGTCCCAGGTTCCGATGCAGTAAAGAGTGGGTAGCGTAACTACATTCAGTTGATTTGAGGACTGTCCACTGGGCTTGGGAAAGATACTCCTCAGCCTGCACGATCCGGCCCAGACCTGCCCAGAAGGAGTAAAGAATGTTATAATTCATTTCCGCACTAGAGAACACATGATGAAATATGAGTCTTCACCCATTCACTCATTTATTCATTGACTCAAACATTTATTGACACACAAAAACTTGTACACAAATGTTTATAGCAACCTAGTCATAATAGCTAAAAAACAGAAACCACTTAAATGCCCATCAACTGATAAGTAGATAGACAAAATGTGGTCCATCCATATCCATGAAGGGCATATTATTAAGTCACAAAAGGGAATGAAGTTCTGACACATGCTGCAAGATGGATGAATCTGGAAAACATTATGCTAAGTGAAAGAAGCCAGATGCAAAGGCCACACAATGTATGATTCTATTGACATAAAATGTCCAAAACAGGCAAATCCGTAGAGACAGAAAGTAGATTAGTGGTGGTCAGGCACTGTGGGGATGGGAAATGGGGCATGATTGCTAATGTGGGTATGGGGTTCCACCTTGGGGATAACTAAAATGTTCTGGAATTAGATATGGTGATGGTTGTTCAATTTCATGAATATACTAAAACCACTAAATTGTACTTTAAAGGAATGTTATGGTATGCAAATTATATCTAAATTTAAAAATACATGTATATGTATACTTAATACCTTTCGAGTGATGAGGATTCGAAGATAAATCAAAGTCATTACCCTTGAAAAATTTGCTGTTGGGTTGGGGGAATGCACGTGTGACATGAAAACAAATATATTTATAACATAGTGAAAGTGCAACAGTAGTAAAATCATAAGAGATGTTATGATGTAGAGAATAGGAAATGTTTAATTCTATGGATGGGATGGAGAAAGACAACAGAGTGGGTTAGAGTCAATGTTATGGACTGAATGTTGTATCCCTCCCAAATTCCTGTGTTAAAGCCCTAATCCCCAAAGTGGTGGTATTAGGAGGTGGGGCCTTTGAGAGGCAATTAGGTCATGAGAGTGGAGCCCTCATGAATGGGATAGTGCCTTAAAAAGAGGAGATACAAAAGAGATGACCTCCTTCTCGGCCATGTGAAGATGCAGCAAGATGGCAGCAGTCTCCAAGCCAGGAGGTGGGCTCTCTTCAGACACTGATCTTGGACTTTCAGCCTTCAGAACTGTGGGAAATTACTGTTCACTGTTTCAGCCACCTGGTCTATGGTATTTGTTATAGCAGCCCAGCTAAGACAGGAAAGTCTGAGCTGCGTTTTGAGGAGGAATTGAAGTTTTCCAGATAGGTAAGGGATAGAGGACATCCCAGGCCGAAGTCACACATCTTCAAAGTCATGGAGACATGACGTAGTATGCTATATTTGGAGAACTGTATATTGGTCTCTGATGCTGGAGCACAAAGTGTGAGGGATTGAATGGCAGGAAATGAGGTTAAAAAAGTAGGCAGGACAGATCTCAGAGGGCTTAGTGAGTTGTGCCAAGGAGTTTGGTGCATGTGGAAAAACATTAGAGGATTTTCAGGAAGGGAGGGAGAAGCAGATTTAGATTTAGATTTAGAGCGTTATTCTAGAGCCAATGTGGAGGAGGGACCCCAGGGGAGGAAGAAAAATAAAAGACCCACTAAAAGCTTTTGACGTAGTTCAGGCAAAGGCTGACAGGACTGAACTAAGGCAGTGAATGAAGACGGAGTAGATACACCAGAGACATTTAGGAGCTGGAATGGACAATACATGGTCATTAAGTGAAAGTCATCTTTGTGTTTAATATTCAGATACACTTGAACCTTAAAACTTTTTGTTTAGCTGTAAAGATACATAACTGCTTTCTGCCTACCTGCTTTCCTTCTCAGGAGGCTGTCAGAACTGAATAGAAAACTATTCTGACAACTCTCGACAGAGTAGAGGGCATGCTCTGGGTATGAAGTATTTCATGTGATGGATGCTGCAGCAGAAATGGCACCAATAAAGGGTCAGGAGACAAGGACGCAAACTCCTCATGAGACAATCTTCTGCTCTTCTTGTCCCTCCTCCCAGGCCTAGTTACATGTAAGCATTATTTTATCCTAGTTGTGATCATATGTCACTGGATAAAAGGGGGAGAGGTGAAGAAGAAGCAATCTACGAGTAGAAGCAAGTACATTTGCTTGACTAAAGCTCCAACTAAAACGGGAAAATGCTAGAGTAGAAGAAAGAGGCCTAGGCGCATGATCCTGGCTCAGGGGAACACGGCAAGTCACCCCTTCCATCTGGGTTTTGTCTTTACAGTAAGAGCTCTACACTGAGGTCCTCTCAAATTTAAAGAAGCAAATGACTCTCAGCTAAGACTGTTCAGATAGGGAAAAAACTGAGGGCATTGATATATACTGGAAATTTTTAATTGTCATTGTGCAGTTCTCTTTCAAGGAGGGAATGCCAAAGAAGGAAGGCCCCAAGGCCAAGCTAAACTAGCAAATAAACAAGTAGCAATCCCAAAGGAGAAGACATACTTGGGAGAAAAAAAATGTGCAACTGAAAATTCGGAGTGGGATCTAGTGAGGTAGGAGCAACGGGCTGTATAGGAAGGCAGGACGAAGACCGTGACCAGCGAGTCGGGGTATTCAGGCATGCCCTCTTCTGTGGTGCTTGCCCAGACAGGGATAGGGATGGAGTGAGGTGGTAGATACACAAAGTTGCCACAGGAAGTGGGGCTACCCCAAAGTGTAATGTGAATAGTATCGGTGTAGATCAGGAAAGGATAGCCAAGAAACAGTGGCCTCGTCTGAAGGCCAAGACAACAGGCCTACGCTGGGAGAGTAACACAAAAGGGGATAAAGGTAAATACCACACTCAAGCTAAATCAACACAGTTCTCTCTTCTAGGCATTTAAAACTGAAATCAGATGCTAATTAGTTCCTATCATCCACCATGAACACATAAATGCAACGTAAATTCAGCTATGTTCTGTCATTCTGGAGTAGCTGTCTTCTGCAGCAAAGCATAGTGTACAAAATCTGGTCTTCAGACACAGAAAATAAAGCAGATACAGAGAGAGAAGCAGAGATAAGAAACAAAGCCAAAGAGGGAAACTGAGAGCACCAGCCTCAGTTTGTTTCAGCATTCTAACTCTAGTACTTCACGAAGCCTCGGTTCCCTTAGGACGCTCCAGTGCCCTAATAAATTTCCTCCTTTCTTAGGCACTGAGAGTGGATTTCTGTCAGCTGTAGCCAAAAATCCATGACATCTCCTTCCCCACCTGATGCCAGACTGTATAACAACCCTGCTCTTCCACAAAAGATGTCTTGGTACCATGGCCAAAGCTGGACTCTCTGGCCACTGATATGATCCAGTGTAGCACATAAGGGCTCCCGGGGACCTCAAGTTGGGTTCTCTTACCAAGGCTAGCCTCAGCCAACAGCAGGTAAGCAGGCACAAGCTCTACTGAGCTCAGGCCATGCACATTCATGCGGAAGCGAAGAGAATGCAGAGCTGCTGGGACAGCATCTTCATGTCTGCCTTCGAAGAGATACTTCTGGGCTACAGTGTAGCAGAATTCAATCAAATGCCTCTGGGGAGGAAAAGTTAGACCATGTTGAGAGAGGCTAATGGCATCTGTGGATATAGGTGCCCCTGGAGAGAGGGCCAACTGGTTGAGGGCACACAGTGAGCCTGCCTGTATTAAGGGGGAGGTGAGAACCAAAACAGGTGACATAAAGACAAACCTGGGCTGTGAGTTCCTCAAGATTCAGAAACTAAATGTCTTCATCTTAGTTCAGTACTTGGCATAAAAGATGCTCAATATAAAATTATTATGTGAATATTTTCCTCATATCTATAACATTTTAGCAAAGTTTAACAAAGCTGTCATGTCTCAAGACAATTTAAAACTTTTTGCCTTTCTATCTGAATTGATTTTGAGAGGAACATCTTAGTTTTCCTTCTGGAGTTATCCTGCTTAGCTCTCAGAAATGCCTTCAGCTCTGCATTGTTCCAAGGCCACTCTCCAAGTGCCACAAGGCTGAAGTGGATGAATTTGGTGTTTTGGGTTTATGCCTTATAATGTGCTAATTTTGTTTAGAATTGAGATGCTATCAATGCCATAATAATGTTTTCCTAATGTCTTTTATGTATCCACTAGTATATTCACACATCATTTTTTGACCTACTCCTATGTGCCTACACTCTTAAAATGGTACTTGGCATATATGGGTGTTAGGGCTGAATTTGGCCCCATAAAATTAATAAGTTAAAGCACTGATCCCTAGTACCTCAGAATGTGACTGCATTTGGAGGTAAAACCTTTAAAGGGGTTAAGATGAGGCCAATAGGGTGGCCCCTAATCCAATCTAACTGGTTGGATAAAAGGAGGAAGCCTGAAACAGATACCAGGGATGCATGTGCACAGAGGAAACCAGTCCTGCTGACACCTATTGCTGCTCTTGGGACTTCTAGACTCCAGATCTGTGAGAAACAAATTTCTGTTCTCTAAGGCACCCAGCCTGTGGTATTTGTTATGTAGCCCTAGGTAACTCAAACAGCAGGTGGGGAACAACTGAGTGAATGGCACTGACATAAAGACATAAAACAATCTCTGCCCTCAGGGAGGTTCCTGTTCAGTGACCTTGAGACAGTACAGCCCCTGGACCCATCAGTGAGCCCCTAATGTCCCAGAGGACCCACCTGCCGCTGCTGGAGCTGCTGCAGGCCGTGCTGCCGTTCTTCCTCTGAGTTGTAGAAGGGCATGGAAGTGCGCACTGGAATCAGCAGCTGGCATATTTTCTCGTGGATGCTGCCCCAGTCAGCTCTTTGATGACCCACACCACTGACAATAAAAAGGTGGATTTCATTATCTCTACGTTGGCCTGACCTAAGATTCCATTGGCCCTTCTACCGGTCTAGCCCTAGAAACTAGAACAGGAAGCCCAGCACAAACCAGGCAGGGACCCCAAGGCATTTCTGATACAAGTCTCTTTTCTTACGTTTGATGTGTGAGAACTAGAAGGGGTGGGAGAGGGGAGGCGGGAGGATGTTGTTTTCTCACGCACAGGTTCACATTCAGACTGAGGCCACCTGGTGATGCTGGGCTATCCTGCTTTTCTGCTTAATTAAGAAATAACAACAAAGGCAACTTTAACTGCATTGTTCTAAAGTCCGTTTCAAAATATCTCAACACCAAAGCTGATGGATTTGAGGGCCTTTTTCTTGGGGAAGGGAAAGGAATTTATGCTTGATGAGGTTCTGGGAGACACTTTCTTATAATTGGAGCCACCATGCCGCATCGCTCCCGAGAGCGCCACTTGCTATCTTCTGCGCTGCAGGCGAAGCACTCACATAGAACACACTGTGAATGCCCCCCAAACCCAGTGGCGCAGCAAGTGGCCTTGCAAGTAACTGTTTTAAGTTTCTGAAGACAAAACAAAATAAAATCTGTAAGCATAAGCGTGGAGAGTTTAAGTAGTTAATCTAGCCTGTATTCCAAAGCCAGTTGTTTTGTAGCTCTCTAGAGGGAAGCACTGTTGACAGTTTGGTATTCAGTTTTTCAGACAGTTTTTAATGCATATTTAGTATTTTAAACACCTATTTAGATGATACAGGTAGAGAACGTTTGCATCACTGGAGAGAAATTCTATTGGACAGCACTAATACAGAGAATCCATTCCCATTCCTTAAATAATTGCCTCTGTGAATGACCCCCAAATTTATTACCCACTTCTGACCCTTCCTCCAATTGTTTACTTTTTTTTACATTTTAAAATTGATATATAATATTCACCACTTTAAAGTGTACAATTCAGTGTTTTTAAGTATATTCACAAGGCTATGTACCCATCACACGATTTCCACCACTCAGAATAGAAGCCCCAGTCACTCTGACAGTTACTCTCATTTTCCGCTTCCACCCACTGGTGCCCAGAAACCACACACCTACTTTCTCTGTGGATTTAACTGTTTTGGACATTGCATATAAATGGAAATAGACAATGTATGATCTTTTGTGATTGGCTTATTTCACTTAGCATAATGCTTTCAAGGTTCATCCATGTTGTAGTATGTATCAATATTTTCTTCCTTTTCATGACAATAATATTCCACTATTTGGCTATATTACTTTTTGTTTATTCATTCATCAGTTACTGGACATTTGGGTTGTTTCCACTTTGTGGCTATTATGAATAATGCTGCTATGAAGATTCATGAACAAGCCTTTGTGTGAACATATGTTCCCAGTTCTCTTGGATATATACCTAAGAATGGAACTGGTGGGTCATATAGTAATTCTATGTTTAACTTTTTGAGGACTTCCAAACTGTTTTCCACAAAGGATGTACCATTTTACAATCCCACAAACAATATATGAGGGTTCCATTTTTTCTACATCCTTACCAAACTTGTTATTTTCTGTCATATTTATTACAGTCATTATAGTGTGTGTGAAGTGGTATCTCAATGTGGTCTTATTTTGCATTTCTTTAATAACTAAACATATTGAGCATCATTATGTGCTTCTTGGCCATTTGTGTATCTTCTCTGGAGAAATGTTCATTCAAGTCTTTGCCCATTTTTAAACTGGGTCTTTTATCTTTTTATTGTTGAGTTTTAAGTGTTCTTTACATATTCGAGATACTAAATCCTGATCAGATATAATTTGAAAATATTTTTTCTATTCTATGGATGTCTTTTCACTTTCTTGATAGTGTTCTCTGATGCACAGAAGTTTTTAATTTTGATGGTGACCAACTTACCTATTTTTTCTTTGGTGCTTTGTGCTTTTGGTGTCATATCTAAGAATGGTTGCCTAATCCAAGATCACATAGATCTACAACTATATTTCCTCCTAAATGTTTTACATTTTTAGCTCTTACATTTAGGTCTTTTTGTTTATGGTATAGGGTAGGAGTCCAAATTCATTCTTTTGCATGTGGAAATCCAGTTAGTCCAGCATCATTTGAAAGAGACCATTCTTTCCCCAACTGAATGGTCTTGGCACTCTTGCTGAAAATCAACTGATCATAGATGTATGTGCTTATTTCTGGACTCTCAATTCTATTCCATTAATCCATGTGTCCATCCTTATGTTGGTACCATGCTGTCTTCATTACTGCACTTTGTAGTAAATTCTTTAAAGTGAAAAGTGTAAGTCCTCCAACTTTTCTTTTTCAATATTGTTTTAGCTATTCTGGGTATTTTGCATATTCACATAAATTTTAGGATCGGGGTGTCCATTTATACAAAAATGACAGTTGGAATTTTGATAGGGATTGCATTGAATTTGTAGATCAATTTGAAGAGTGTTACTATCTTAATATATTAAGTCTTCCAATCTATGAATATTGAATATCATTCCACTAATTTAGGTCCTCTTTAATTTCTTTCAACAATATTTTGTAGTTTTCAGTGTATAAGTCTAACACTTCTTCAGTTAAATTTATTCCTCTTTTTATTGTTATTGCAAATTGAATGGCTTTCTTTCATTTACAGATTGTTCATTGCTAGCATATAGAAATACAACTGATTTTGTACAATGTCTTGTATCCTGTAACTTCGCTAAATTGCTTTATTAACTCTCACATTTTTTTGGTAGGTTCTTTAGGGATTTTTTGCTGAGATCATGTCATCTGCAAATAGAGGTATTTTTACTCCTTCTTTTTCAAGCTGGATTTTTATTTCATTGTCTTGTTAATTGAACCAACTAGAACCTCTAGCACAAAATTGAATAAAAGTGGTGGAAGCAACATTCTTGTCTCATTTCTTATTTTAGTGGGGAAAGCTTTTCTGACCATTAGGTATGTTAGTTTTGTGTTTCTCTATGGGTTTTTCATAGATACCCTTTACCAAATTACACAAGTTCCCTTCTATTCCTAGTTTGTTAAGTGTCTTTATCATAAAGGGTGTTGGATTTTGTCAAATGTCATGTAGTTTTCATCTTTTTTTCCATTAAGATGATGTCATATATTGATTAATATTTGTATGTTGACTTAACCTTGAATTCCTGGGAGAAATCCCCTTTGGTCACAAGGAATATTGATCTGTAGTTTTCTTTTATTATGATGTTTTTGTCTGGTTTTGTTATCAGGATAATACTGCCCTCATAAAATTAGTTGGGAACTGTTCCTTCCTTTTCTATTTTTTTGGAAGTTTGTGAAGAAATGGCATTAATTCTTCTTTAAATATTGTTAGAATTCACCAGTGAAGTCATCTGGTCCTGGTGTTTTCTCTGTGGAAAGTTTTTTGATTACTAGCTAAATCCATTTAGTTATAGATCTACTCAGATATTCTATTTCTTCAAGTCAGTTTTGGTAGTTTGTGTCTTACTAATAATATATTTCATCTAGGTTTTCTAATTTGTTGGCATACAATTAAACATAGTATTCTCTTAGAATCTCTTTTCTTTCTGCAAAGTTGGTAGCAATGTCCCCACTTTCATTTCTGATTTTAGTAACTTGAGTCTTCTTTTCTTGGTCAGTTTAGCTAAAGGTTTATCAATTTTGTTGATTTTTCAAGGAACCCACTCTTTTGGCTTTGTTGATTCTATTTTTTTCCTATTCTCCATTTCATTTATCTATTTGCTAATCTTTAATATTTCCCTTCTTCTGATAGCTTTGGGTTGAGTTTGCTCTCCTTTATCTGGTTCCTTAAACTGGAAGGCTGGGTTATTGAGATCTTCCTTCTTGTTTACTGTATTTACACCTATAACTTCCCTCGAGTACTGCTTTCACTGTATCCCATAAGTTTTAGTATGTTATGTTTTTGTTCTTATTTCACTCAAAGCATTTTCCAATTTCCCTTGTGGTTTCTTCTATTATTCATTGGCTTTTTTAGAGTGTGTTACATCCACATACTCATAAATTTCCCAAATTTACATTTGTTATTGATGACTAATTTCATTCCACTCTGGTTGGAGAGCATACTTTTCACAATTTCAATCCTTAAGTATTTACTGAGACTTATTTTATGGCCTAACATATATCTTGGAGAATGTTCCATATGCACTTAATTCTGTTGTTCTTCGGTGGTATTCTATAGATGCCTGTTAGGTCTAGGTGGTTTATAGTGTTGTTCAAGTCTTACACTTCCTTGCTGATCTTCTGCCCAGTTGTTCTATTCATTATTGAAAATGGGATACTGAAGTGTCCAACTATTACTGTTGAATTGTTTATGTCTCCCTTCAGTTCTGACAGTTATTGCTTTATGTATTTTAAGACTGTTGTTGGATTTTTGCATTTTTATTGCCTATTACTTAAATGTGAGAAAGTTAAATGTTTGATTCTGTTTTTATATAATCCAAAACAGATAACAATAACCTACAGCAGGGTCAGCAAAGTCTTTCTTTTTAAATATTTAGGCTTTGAGAGCTATATGGTCTCTGTTGTAGCTACTCAACTCTGTTGTTGTAGCACAAAAGCAGTCATAGACAATACATAGCTGTGTTCAAGCACTCTCTTCTTCCTTCCTTCCTTCCTTTACTGCACAACACAAATGCAATAAAGTATTTTATTCATAAACTACAACAGTTATCATATAAATAAAAAGTATTTTTTAAGTTTTTTGATAGATCATTATTATGAGCAAATCAATAACAGCACTTAACAGCCAGGATACAGAAATAGTTGAGTTCCACAGGGTATTTTTTAAATAGAGGCCTGTTGAGTAATTGTATGAGCAATGGAAATATTAACTTACTTAACTGCCTGAACTTTTCCACTGAGAGCATTTGACATATCTTGCCTTTCTAAATGAAGTAAACATTATTAATGTGTTAGCAAGTCCCTCTGTATTCACCTGTCTCACCCCTAAAACTCAACACAGGGTTGTATATAAAGGAGGAGTTGAAAATATGTTTTCAGTCAGGGTTTGCAGTCAAGTAGTTTGTGAGTCATACATGTTTTGCTTGGTCATTACCATGTGTTTTAAACTGAACCGAGTGTCTTTAGGCAGGATATTCATTATCCAGTTCACCACAGATCCTACTCTTTCCTACTATCAAAAACCAGAGTTACTAGTTTTCTCTTCCTGGCCATTGAGGGCATTTTAATTTGTGCCCAATATGTTAAATAAAAGGAAAAATTGCTTCAAATTACTCTTATCTATATGCTATGATGCTGAAGTATCTTTTCCCTGTCAGTAACATTTCAGTGTAAACTTTAATAAAATTGTCTTTTCTTAAAAATGTCCTATTCCCTGAGAACATTCTTACAATCCAATATAGAACAATATGCACAAGATTACACAGTGTAAAAAATAAGTATATTTACAGGAAAAGTATATAAGGAAATTCACCAAAATTTCCTCTCAGTTACAAAATTATAGATTTTTTCTTTTTTTGTTTTTGTATTATTAACCTCTCAGTTACAAAATTACAGATGTTTTCTTTTTTTGTATTTTCAAGTTTTCTGCAGTGAGCATGAATTTTATTTATAACTGAGAAAGAAAAACTCTTTTGAAAAAAAACAAACTTCCATAAATTCAAGTTGACTGTCCCTACTATTCTTTAAATTTGGGATGAGGAAGGTAATATTTATTGAGTGCCAACCTGGTCCCAGGCATGATGCTGGATGCTTTACATTCAAACACAAAACCCTGTAAAGCCCCCAATTTTGAGATATAGGAAATGACTTCAGTTTTATTTTATGGAAAACCCTTGCAATCTCTAGGATACGAGGATATAGAAATCTGGAGAAAAGAGTGGGGAAGAAAAGAGAAGAGCTTAAAGAGAATTAAAGGGAGTGAAAGCAGAGAAAGAGGAGAAAGGAAATAGTGGAGGATAAGGGCATAGGAAATAATAATTTATTCATGCACTCATTAAATATTTAGTTTCAACTATTCCAAGACACTTTACTGAAGACTATATGATATATCCTGGGATTGACACAGATCAAAGATAGCATGTACAACAGTCCTTCTACACATATTCAACATAATATTATGCATTGATGGAGCATAATAAAGTCAAGACAACATGCTCACCAACAACTAAAATGAAGAAGCAAAATAAGAGTCATCTGAGAGTAAGAGTAACTGCAAGTGAGTTGACAAGAACATGGAATTACTTCTGGCTTGAGAGACCTATGTGACGGGAGAAGAAGTGGATGCTAATAACAAGCAAGAGGGCCTAGTCTCTCCCCTGAGTGCCAGGCCTGTCCTTAAAGTAGTTTATTGACCATCTCTCCCAAGTGACCTTAAGGCCCCTCAAACTCTGTATTCCCCAATTCAATCTGTCACCCCCCACCTCCTTCCTCTGTGTTTCTTATCCCACCTAATGGGTTCTTATCCATTCAGAAGTTCATTCATCCAATAAATGATCATTGAGTGTCTAGTATGTGTGGGCACTAGGTCTAGTAAAAGACACAGATACTAAACAAGTAAACACAAAAACACAAAAGTACAGGAAAAATAAAGAAAATGTTAGAGAGGAAAAGTGAGAAAGGACTATTTAGATTGGGTTTCCATAAAGACCTCTTTGAAGAAATAACATTTCTGAAAACTGAAGGATGAAAGGGAGCTAGGAAGATTCAGCAATTAAGGAGAGCTTCCCAACAGAGAACAGCATGAGCAAAGAAACTGGGGAGGAAAGGACTTAGCAAATTAGAACTGAGAGAAAGCCTCCACAACTTCATCAAGGAAACAAGGGGGTGAGTGTGGTGGGAAATGAAAGTAGAGAGGTAACTATGGCTTTGTAGTTTCAGTTACAAATTCTGAATTTAAATGCAATGAAGAAACAGGAATGAAAATACAAATGCCATCCCAGTCCTCATGGGGCAAAGAGCACAGTGTGGAATATAGACCATTAAACAACTGATTTCAATTTATGTCTTAAGTGTCAGGATAGGAGACATATAGAGTGCTGTGAGAGCACACAGGAGGGACACCTAATTCGGTCTGAAACAGATATTTTCACTCTCTATTGGGTCATTGCAACAACTTCTTATAATCAGTCAGACAGTGTCCAGTGTCTATCTTCCAATCTATCTTCCATACTGCTGTCATCTCTCCTTAACACAAATGAGAGCATTCCAAAACCATCCATGGCCTCCCAGAGTACACATTCCAAATTCCTCAATCTCATGCCACCTTTTGGCCCTAACCCTAATCTTCTTGGTTTAAACTCCTACTACTTAACTACCTATCACAATGATTTTCAAACTTTTTTTTTTACTAAACCCATAGTAGGAAATACATTTTAGCAGTACAAACACACATCTCCACATAAAACATTAAACAAAAGCTTCAAGAAACAATTCAAGTAAGACTACTCTAACACTTACTATTTTTTATCTTAAAATGCTGGTTATGATTTATTCATGACCTGCTAATGGGTCTTGGACTGGAATTTGAAAATCTACTACCTTAACTGCCCAGTTCTGAACAAGCTCTGTTCTTTTACCGTGTGCCAAATCAGTCCTGGATGCCAAGAGTGCTGTACCTTTCTGTCTTCATTAATAATTCTCCTAGTAATTTCTTACTGACCTTTCAAGACTCAGTGCAAATGTTTCTTCTTTAGAGACACCTTTCCAGATACTTCCCCAGTCACACTGCTTCCATCCTTAGAGGTCCCAGAGAATAGCACAACCTGAGTGACCGTAGGGTGTATTTTAATGACTTTCTTTTTTAAACAAGTTAGTCTGCTCTGGACTAGGTTTCTGGATGTCAGTAAACTAGCTGTTTTATCTCAGGCACCAAATAAGGTCTAACCTGATGCAACAAGGGACATGATGCTGAATAAATGAAAACTGACCTCATCTTGCCCTATCCTCCCCACACCCTAACCATCCCGGCTCTACACTAGACAAACTAGCCTTCTTTCTCATTCTTCAAAAACACCAGTCTTTCATCCCTCAGAGTCTTACTGTGCTAATCTTTACCCAACATTTCCACGGAGAACTGCTCCTACTTTATCTTCAAATCAAAGTCTACCCTAGAGAGGCAGATTTTCTTTGTCTTTATGGCATTTATCACTCTGAAATTCTCTTGTTTTTTGCTTGTTTACTTAACTGTCTTCTGCGCTAGAAAGTCAGATCTCTGTGGCACATGGTGTACCGCGTCTTCCCCAGTAACTTCAGCCCTAGAACAGTACATAGCGCACAGCAGGCGCCCAACCAAGCTTCGGTGACAACTGAGTGGGAGAGGAGGCAGACGAGGACCCAGAAGTCTTAGGGACCTGTCTGAAGTCCCCTTGAACGTTCCCAGGCAGAACAGGGTGCTACGACTTGCGCAAGGCACCCAGACCCAGACAAGAGATTGGGAGAGAGGGTGGGGTTGAGGCGCCCAGGTGCCACGTTTCAGGGCCTACCAGTAATAAGTGACAGTGCAGTCTCTGCACACTCGCTCGGCCGGGGCATCGCACACCTCACAGCGGAGCCGGCGCCCCTTGGACACCGCCAGGGGGTAGATCACGTTCATAACGTAGCCAGCACTGTCGGTCCCTAGGACGGTTGCCTGGCGAGAAAACGCTACACGCCAGTCACGTGACCGCCACGGGACAGCCTCGTTTACAGCATTTCAAGGCCGGCAGGAGACGCGTGGTTCGACTGACACTTGGGGGTGTCTGTGGGGTTAAAAACCACGAACAACTCCCCCAGTGCAAGTCCCAAAGTTTAAATGTTCAGACTAACTCCATGAGAGTATTAAGAACAGGAAGGACTACACGGTGGCCGGCGAGAGTCAAACATGTGCAGTTCTTTACCCAGGCTAGGAAAAAACGAATTTGAGAAGATGTAACACTTTCAGATGCTTGCCCAGCCCAACATTCCAGTCCGTTCAATGTCAATTTAGCTGGGCTGTGGGAAACACCAGCAAGAAGTTCCAGATGCCGAGAAATCAGGTTCTGACGTCGGGCGTAAAGTAGCGAACCGCCCCCTCCCATTGCGGCTGCGCTTGGACCACGAACTGGGGCGGGGTGTGTGGCACTTGCCCCCCCCACTGGAGCATGCGCAGGCGCGCGGGGCGCCCCGGACTGATGGCGGAAGTGGACCTGGTAGCCGAGTTCCCCCAACCTGCCGGTGCTGCCCGATATGCCGAAGTTATGGCTCGCTTCGCCGCCGGACTGGGCGCGCAGGGCCGACGGGTGGTATTGGTTACGTCCGGAGGCACGAAGGTCCCACTGGAAGCCCGGCCAGTGCGCTTCCTGGACAACTTCAGCAGCGGGCGGCGCGGTGCCACCTCGGCCGAGGCCTTCCTGGCTGCGGGCTACGGAGTCCTGTTCCTGTACCGCGCTCGCTCGGCCTTTCCCTTTGCCCACCGCTTTCCGCCCCAGACCTGGCTGTCTGCTCTGCGGCCTTCCGACCCATCTCCTTCGGGTTTGGTGAGCCTAGAAACTGAGGAGAATGCACTCCCAGGCTTTGCTGCGGCTCTGCGAAGCTACCAGGAGGCTGCGGCTGCTGGCACCTTCCTGGCAGTAGAGTTCACCACTTTGGCGGACTATTTGCATCTGCTGCAGGCTGCGGCCCAGGCGCTCAATCCTCTAGGTGCGTACCCTAAGAGTCCATGGGTTGTCCGGAAGCAATCTTTCTCCCCAGACACCTCCTTAACTCTCTCGCTATCCACTGGTCTCACAATCGGGGAACCTGAATTAGAAAGAAGCTGATCCCATAGAACTCTCCAATTTATTGCACCCTGTGCTTATCTTTGCAGGAGCTTCTGCTATGTTTTACCTGGCTGCGGCCGTGTCAGATTTCTATGTTCCTGCCTCAGAAATGCCTGAACACAAGATCCAGTCATCTGGGGGCCCACTGCAGGTGATGGGCGGTTCTCTTCCAAGATCTGACCCCTATAACCAATCTTGAGTTAATTCCCTCTTGATCTGGAGATGACCTTTCTGCATTCCATATATGCTAGTCACTAGGGATGCATAAGACACCGCCCTCCCTCAAGGACCTCACAGTCTAGTGAGGGAGCTGGATACAGACATAATTACAATACAGAGTGATAAATGCTCTAGTAGAGGTACGTACAAAGTGAAGTAAGAGCATGGGGTGAGTGAATCTTGGGGAAGATAAGGAAGGCTTCCTTGAGGAGATGACTTGAACTGGGTTTTGAAAGATGAGCAGAGGATGTACCAGAGTAGGGAAGGTCATTCCAGATAGAGTACACAAGTGGAGTTTGGAAAGGGGCAGTGTGCTGTGAACTGAAGTTGTTTGATAAGGTGGGAGAGCATGAAAAGTGGTAAGGGTGGAGAGCAGACTGAAGAGACAGCTTACTTCATCAGAGTATTCCTTCTAAAGGAGCTTGGACTTTATGTGAGCCAAGGGTCACATAAGTAGGAGAAATAAAGTTTTTGCTTGAGAAGAACATTCTGGCATCTGTACGAAAGGTGAATTAGAAAGAGAATGTGGTGGGTAATTTAGATGCGGGTTATTACTGTAATTTCAGGAGTAGATATGGGAGGATAATGTGTTTGAAATGGTGAAATGATCTGGCTTCGTGGAACGTTAGGGAATTCTTAGTCATTTATGGGGTGAAACAAGTAGAATTTAAATAGAAATCCATACCTGGTAAGGGGCACTTGATGGCTTTGTAGAATAGTTTATTTGTTCATTTCTTCAACAAATATTTATTGAGTACCTACTGTATGTCAGGCACTCTTGTAGGACCTGGAGATAAAGCAGGGAAAAGAAACAGGCTGTGCCCTTGTGCTGCTTATACTCTGCAAAAGAGACCATAAATAAGTCAAATGCATACTGTTAGGTTGTGTTAAATGCTAAGGAAAAAATAAAATGGGGAAAGAGCATATGAACCCTGTAACACTTGCTAACATTTTGAAGGACTATCTTGATTATTAGCTTAGTGATTTCAAACTTTGCAAATTCTGCCAGCTTTAGTTATCCTTTATTTTTTAGTTCTATCTTAAAAGTATTCAAAACAACTCAACATCCCCATTGGACTGAAGATGGTATAGTAGGACTTCTGATCAAGTGGAAATAAAATCAGTTCTGTTTCTTCAGTGCTAAGATGTTTTTACAAATGACAGTACTTACATGTTATCAAATAGCCATTTTACCAGTGCAAGAAATAATTTAGACTGAGAAGTTTAAAAACCCAACTTTATTTGAGCTTCTGTCCAAGTAACATTTGCATGAACAGAGTATTTGTATTTGTTTATTTAAGACTTAGGTTAAAAAATAAAGGGGAATGTTTGAGAAAAAAGAATGCTGTTTTCTTTAAAGTTGTATTAATGGTGATGAGGGTGGCAGGGCAGGACTGATTCATAAGACATGGGTTATCCCAGAATACATACGAAGCCTTGAAATTAGGCACCCTTATGGATGTTACAGAGCCAAGGTGTTTAAGCTGAGCTTTGGAAAATTCGACAATGAGAAATTCCGTTTTTATTGACAGTGCTGAAATTCTGAGTTCCTGCTTCTTTAGTTTCCCCTGAGATTGACTTGGTAAGTAGTGACCTTTGTTTACTTACTAAGCTTTTCTTTTTCTAATACAGATAACAATGAAGATGGTGCCAAAAATGCTTTCTCCTTTGGTTAAAGACTGGGCTCCCAAAGCATTTATAATTTCCTTTAAGCTGGAGACTGACCCCTCCATTGTAATTGATCGTGCACGGAATGCTTTGGAAGTTTACCGACATCAAGTGGTGGTGGCTAATATCCTTGAGTCACGAAGGTCGTTTGTCGTTATTATAACCAAAGACTCAGAAACCAAGTTATTGCTATCTGAGGAAGAAGTAGAAAAAGGCATAGAGATAGAAGAGAAGATAGTGGATGATCTTGGGTCTAGACACACAGCCTTTATACATAACAAAAACTGAAGTAAAAAGCTCTTAACGGGATCAGAAATTGTTCAGTGGATCAGGGCTCTTACATATGGTGAGAACTAGAATAAATCTTTTGCTTCCATAAAGACAGAAAATGGAGGGAAAAAGAAGTCAGTGGTGTGCAGGCAAATGATTTGGTATTTGTCTTTCATTTCATACTCATTAAAAATGAAAACCAAGGTAAAACAATTATGGCTAACACACTCACCTGAATGTTATCTTGATTTTGAAGGGGAACAAACACAAGCTGTTTCTCACCTCTTAAAAAAGAGCTTTTTGGGAATTACATTCCTTAAAATATACACGAGGGGCCTAAATATCAACCTTTCATACTGTAAAAAAGGATTATGGATGCATGAGTGGCCGTGCTTTGAAGATCAAGTATTTTTTGTTGCCTACTATGTGGTAGGCCCTGGGACTTTGAGGATTAAAAGGAGTACACATGTATAGTTTGGGAAATGGTTGTATACAACATTAAATGCAATAAAGTGTGTGCCCAAAGCCAACACAATGGAAAGGATGCTGATTTTGTTTGTTTGCTGGAAATTTATCAAAGATGGAAGTAGGAGAGGACACCTCTCTGAAGAGAGATTGCCTGTAGAATGATAAGCTTCCCATTATGTTTACTTTTTGCTGCTTGTCTTAGATTCATTCCATATTTGAGTTAATAATTAACCTTTCAACTATTTTAGGACTGCTCTTCAGGGGAACTAAACCCAGGCTTTTACCTGGGACCAGTCCAGGGCCAATTGGTGACCTCTGCCCTGAGGAAAGCATTACAGTGTGCGAAAGAGTATGGGTTTTGGAATCATCTTAGCCGGCTTTGACCCCATTAGCTGTACCACCTACTAGCTTTGTAAACTCAGACACCTGGCTTGATCTCAGCTTCATCATTTATAAAATAGAGGTGATAAATCTCTGCAAAGTAAAGCCTTTCCTGTGAGGATTAAATAAAACTGAAGATAAAACATTAGTCTGGGGCCTGGCACATAAATCACACTCAGTAAATGGTTGCAGTTGTTTTGCTCACTTGACAGGATTAGCAGTGTTCGGCCGGTGCCCTGCTCAGTCCCTGAATCCTCGAGTTTTCAAAGGTTCTCTCACTGTTCAAAACTTTAGGTTGGGAGTACACAAGAAGTGTAGTCCAGAAAAAATCCCCTAATGATTTGTAGGATGATTCAAAGTACAAGTTGAAACGTACCATTAATAAGTATGTAGAGGTAGGCATTATAAACTTCAAATAAACATTTGATTTAAAATGCAATTCATGATACCTCATGAATTGGGAAGTGAATTGGGAAGAGTAACCCTATGTGTCTGATAATATAGGAACAACAAATTTTAGTTGGAAAGATTTCAACAGAAGTGCCAAATGTACTGAAATACTTCATTACATCAGGAAGTATGACCTTGAGCAGAGGAAACTAACTCCTGCAATCAACTTTTCTGGAAGCAGCAGTCTCACAGAACAAAAATTTTTAAGCTAACTTAGACTCCAATTGGCAAAACCTCAAAAACAACAGACTCTGTCAGCAGTGGCAGTACTGAAGGGGTAGGAAGTGAAAGGTTGATTTTCTTCCCTACACCTATAGCTTTATGTGGGTGATAACTGTCCTTATCATCTTTGAATGATGATTAGAGCTAAAACTAGAAATTATTTTAATATTTTTTACCATAATTATCACTTCCTTTGGAAACCATTTCCTATCCTGTTACAACAAACATTACCTCTCTACATGGAATCACTCACTTTCAAATTCCATTCAGAGCACACAGTATATTACACATGATAAAATTCCAAGAGGTTTGATTTTGGTTTTTTAAACAAATGGGAGCGTGTAAGTAAAGAAGTAATGAAAAGGAACATGAGTCCATGAGAGTAAAAGAAAAGGAACTTGGTGTAGATTGGAGAACCAAGGAATGTTGCCCTGAGGAAGAGAGGCTTGAACTGATAGTTAAGTAGGTTGGAGGGATCAGTTGCGAAGGCTCTGGTGCCAGAGGGAGAGGGTGAAGCACGCCTAGAAGGAAGGGAT